GTATGTTTTTATTCTCTATTATAACACAGTAATTATATAGGTACATCACTCATATCACATCCTGTTTCTGTAAAAAAGGGTCTCCCAAACATAGCAAGCGGCCACAATATAGGCAGCCAGAATTCAGGAAGGCTCCAGGGACCCCTGGGCTTGGCCCAGAAAATGCCTCAGAGTAGTACCAGGTGCTGGGAAGCTGATACGGAAGACTAGCCATTCCCTGCCTCCACCTTGCCTGCCAAAAAGGAAAGTCAGAGGACTCAAGGGATCCAGGCAGCTTGAAAACCTTTTAGGAGCACCAGCTCAGCTCAACAATTAGTAGTATAAAGCACACGCTCAATAAAGATTTGATGCATGAGTGCATCCTGAGTCCACGCCTGGAATGTGTTTCACATATTCCACAATACTTCACATTGGGTTCCTGAGGTCTTCTGGTATTGTTGGAGACTCCTGTGCAGTCCCTGGTGAAACCCCAGACCACTGCTCTTAATGTAGATGGGCCTGCTCCACTAAATCCCAGTAGCATGATCCCATGGGTAGGACCACTGTGAAGAATTTCAAGGGGCTCATTTAATTCCTCCTTTGCACTGCCACACAAATGGTTTTTCACACTATTTCCTTTTCCAGGTTTTACAAAGAACAGTGATTGAAGTTGATGAAAGGGGCACTGAGGCAGTGGCAGGAACCTTGTCAGAAATTATTGCTTATTCCATGCCTCCTGTCATCAAAGTGAACCGGCCATTTCATTTCATGATCTATGAAGAAACCTCTGGAATGCTTCTGTTTCTGGGAAGGGTGGTGAATCCGACTCTCCTATAATTCAGGACGTGCATAAGCACTTCGTGCTGCAGTAGATGCTGAATCTGAGGTATCAAATCCACACAGGATACCAGCAATGGATGGCAGGGGAGAGTGTTCCTTTTGTTCTTAACTAGTTTAGGGTGTTCTCAAATATAGTAGTCCCCACTTATCTGAGGGGTATACATTCAAAGACCCCCAGCGGATGCCTGAAATGGTGGACAGTGCTGAACCTTATATATATTGTTTCCTACACATACATACCTATGATAAAGTTTAATTTATAAATTAGGCACAGTAAGAGATTAACAACAATAATAACAATATTAAGTAAAACAAGTTACTTGAATGCAGGCACTGCAATACCCTAACAGTCAAACTGACTATAGAGAAGGCTACTAAGTGACTCACAGGCGAGGAGCACAGACAGTGTGGAGACATTGGGCAAGGGGAGAATTCACATCCTGGGTGGGACAGAGCAGGACGATGCAAGATTCCATCCCACTACCCAGAATGGCATGCCACTTAAAACTTTTAGATTGTTTATTTCTGGAATTTTTCATTTAATGTTTTCAGACCATGGTTGACCACAGTTAACTGAGACTACAGAAAGCAAAACCATGGATAAGGGAGGACTACTACAAAAGCATTACATTGATTTTTTTTTAAAGATGTTTGTGTAATCCGTCTGGTATTTTAAGCCTGTTTCTAACAGCCTTAGTTATTTGGCTGAAGACTAGCTGGGTAGAATATCTTTTCTCTGTTGCTCACATATTTGGATTTTTAAAAAGTTGCAGATGAGAACACTATGTCGAGATAAAGCCTTTGGGCTTTATCTCCTTGAGTCATGTGCTTCTCTCTCTTTACTTCTCTCTGGTGCAACATAAGTGTTTTATTTTAATCTATTATGGAGTCATAATAATTGCTGATGACATCAGAAGAAAAATAGCTCTAATCAGTCCTGATCACAGCATCTACTTCCATGGTGCATCAAATCGCTTGGCAGAGGCATTGGCTGAACCACAGATCATCTAGTTCAATACTTTCATTTTACAAAAGAAAGAAAGAGGGACCCAGAAACAGGTCCACATTCTTACTTTCATGGGCCCTAGGCACTTTTAACCTCGTAGACTCCTTTCCTTCATGAAGATATATATGTTTTATGGCTGCATTGGTAGAAAGATGAATATATTCGTCTTTTGAAATTGCGTAACTGGCTTCAAAGTTATTTGTCTAGCATATGGCGATAAGTAAAACACCTTCGTGGGCCCTTACAGTACTGTCGGCCTTAGGCACTGTGTCTTCTGCATCTAGTGGATAAGTCATACCTTATATACCAGTGGGAAGAAAACACTTGTCCAAGGTCTTCCAGTGTGAGAATGGCAGAGTCAGAGGCCTACCTTTCCTGAGTCTAGTCCCCAAGCCCTTTTACTCTTCCTTCCTTCCATCTAAAACATCTGACGGGGACCAGGTAAACAGCATGAACTATAGCTACCCATGGGGGTTAAACAGAATATAAGCACAAACTTTGTCCCAGGGTGAAAAGGGAAATTGTAAATATCCCTGATCTTCCTTAGGCAGTCATTTTCTGTCACAGAAACAGAAAAGACCATATTCAGAGAATCCTGAATAGAGCTAACTTACAGTGTCAACTATGTTAAATGCCTAATTGGATTTCTGTCTGTCTGCTATCTAATGTTTAAAAAAATCTAAAATTCATTTATTGATTATTTAATATAATCCAGAGTAATGTGAATAGGTAATAATATTAATATGCAGCCTAAATACAGTCTTTTCATCATTCCAGGTTTTGGAATTCCAGGTTTTGGAATGATGAAGTCAGTACTTAGACTGCATATTAATAAAATAAAATTCATTCCTGTATTCATTCCAACAGCACTAATTGACACTTATGAAGGGACAGGCAATTTAGGCCCTGGAGGGCCAAAGACAGAGGACTAACTCTAACTGACATTCTTAAGTCACCCTGTTTGTGTTCAATTAGTCAGATTTGTTTGTGGAAAAATAGTAGAGGAATAAAGTAGAATCCAGTCAAATTTCCCACTTTTAAGAGATGAAATCTGGAAAATTAAGTCTGTGAGAGCACAATACTCACTGAAATCAATATGGCCAAACCCAGTTATAAAAAGGTACATTATTATTGAAGGATTCATACAGCATGCAGATAACAAACTCCTGCCTTCTTCCCACCATATACACTGCAAAGCAACAAGCATAATCATTGTATTTAACACACTACTCTTTAAGGTAGAAAATGGACCTATTCTATGTTTTAAATATACTTTTTAATGTTCCCCCATATTTGCTTTAAGAAGTTCCTAAGACACTCAGTTTCAGATTTCCCGAGTACACAGGCATGACAGAAAAATGCAGACCAATAAAAAATGTAATTTACCTCACACAAATACACACACACACAAATTCGGGGTTTCCAACTGAGCGGGGAAAATCTTAACAATGTACAAGTCTTCACTATATGTAAGTGTTGAGTTTTTTTGTTTTGTTTTGTTTTTGAGACGGAGTCTTGCTCTGTCGCCCAGGCTGGAGTGCAATGGCACGATCTCGGCTCACTGCAACCTCTGCCTCCCAGGTTCATGGCATTCTCCTGCCTCAGCCTCCCAAGTAGCTGGGACTACAGGCGTCTACCACCACACCCGGCTAATTTTTTGTATTTTAAGTAGAGACAGGGTTTCACCATGTTAACCAGGATTGTCTTGATCTCCTGACCTTGTGATCCACCCACCTCAGCCTCCCAAAGCTGGGATTACAGGTGTGAGACACCACACCTGGCCAAGTGTCAGGTCTTAAAAATTGTTCCTACACAGACACACTCAACCACACATTCTCACACATACATGCTGTAACAACTGAGAACAGGTTACTGACTTAATCTAATTCATTTTATCCTCATTGTAAAACTTCTACTCCAGTTGAAGAGCCTGTTTCATTTCAATTCAAAGATTTCTCATATATCCACTAATTGTATGGCAAAACTGACTCATCTCCAGACTAAGATATTCAAGCTTAGGAAGTCAAATAATAGAAATGATTTTTTTAAATGTGTATGAGGTTATAAAGAAAAATTTCATGTGCTCCTTATTTAACCTCTATATGGTAAATCCTTTATAGACCTATCTCCATTTCTGCAGTAACAGTGAGCTCTACAGTTAGCTGTAAGGCTAACTAGTGAAATTCTTGGACTTATTCTTAAAATGCAAGTTTTAGTAATTAACAAAATGATGATGATGTCCCTTTTCCTGACAGCTACAGATGGAGGGAGATTTTTCTTTGCCATACAACTCATTTAAAGGATTAATTTGATAAGTTGTTAAACTGAGAGTTTTCACAAAAGTATCCATCTTGTTTTTGATATAAATGGAGATACATGTAGATATTCATAACTGTCACTAATTTGCTTTTTATCCTGTTTCTACATATCTGTCCTTGGAAATATAATTTTAACAAATATTTCAAAGATTTTAGGAAATGTCATGTTCTGTTAAAAACTTCCAAAAGTAATTTTGATTAACGGTTTGATAATTTAATACCTAGGACTAAGATTGCAATTGACTGCCCTACATTCCTGAACTTTATAAGCAGTAGTTTTTCTCTGTCAAATCAGTTTCCCTTCTCCCATTTGCATCATGGGAAAGTAAAAGCTTGTAATTCTGCTAAATTTATTATAACAAATAAATTGAAATTCTCCATTTTATTAAATTAATAGAATGCTATGAATCAAAGCACCAAAAAAAACTGATGCAATTTTGATGTCTCATTCTGTACCAAATTCTCCAGATCTTAATATATTCAGTTCCACATTATTGGTGCTAGTAGGAGACATGATGAAAACAGTTAAATGAAATCCACAGCGAGTGTACTGATTACTTTAACCAGTACTGTCAAATTTCTCATACCTACTGAATTTTAACTACTGACAAAACGAGTAGTAACAATTCCATTTACCTGGTTGTCCTTTGGCAAAGGATATTACGAAGAATCACTAAAAATAGCCAAAAAAGAAGCCATATGGATGGAAAAAGGAAAACAAATGGCATGAAAAGGTCTCACACTGAGTAACTATGCTCTTATAGTTGACACTGGTATATTTCTTTTTTTCACTACCTAAAACTGAACTATCTTACTCTTTAATTATAGAATAAAAACTGCAGGAGAGTATTTAAAACTTTTTTCACAAACACAGGTATCTCATTAACCTATGTTTTATTTTGAGTAAATTCATTATTCATTATTTCACATTATAAAAAGGAACCACACACACATATGCATTCACAAATTAGATCATCTTTATCATACATCGATACATTTTAAAAAACAAATATTTTCTAATATCAATATAGTTATATGCTGATTGCATTTTGAAATAGAGAAGCTGACAATAGCTTCATACAGTATATCTCAAGAACTGACAGTTTAAAATTAAGAACTGTATATATTCCACAGGCAAATTTTGATGGAAATATTAGCATTAGTACAAATAAATGCTGTTGACATAGCTTAAGCATGATAGCTTGGAATAACAGCTGATTCAGACTAGATTCATCATTTTAAATTAAATAAGGACAAATACAATCTAAAATGTAAACAAAGTATTTATAAAATAAATTCTCTAGGAAATAAAGAAAATCATCAATCTATTATTTTTAAGGTATTTATAGCTCAAAGTTATCAGAAATCTTTGTGGAATTTTCATTGCCAAATTTAAATTTGGGAATGTCCGGGTACAACATATTGACACCACAATCCGGAGGGCTGCCAAAATCGCAGACGGCTATTTGCATCCTTTCAGTGTGACTTTTCAAGTGGGCTTGGAGAGTCATGAGAAAATGCAGTATCTTTCTTACCTTCCAAGTCCCCCTCCAAGTGATTATGAAGCTAGGACGATTTCAGCTGATGTAGACTTTCATACGATTTTTAAATGCTAAAACTTTAGAACAATTAAATAGCTGGTTTCCTGCACAAATAAATGCAGACTTGTCTCTTTTACAGCAGTGGTTAAAGCACATACCTAGAGATGTTTTTCATTACACTTCACTATAACACTGGAATTCTGTAACCACATTATTACTCAAGAAATATATATTATACCTCCTAGGGAATCTAATTTGAAATATGGAAAGTTTAACATCAGCTGTCATTATGTCTCTCTTTCCACTCATTAACAACAACAAAAAAAGACCCCAAAACCTAAAAACAAAGCCCCAACCATTGCTTTAGCTTTTGTGCACCAACCACATTATCTTCTGCTGCCTTTGTTTTGCCTCCTTCATCAAGCAGTTGATTTAAGGATTGGATTTTCTGGATTTTCTTTGGGAAGAAAGAAATGAAGGAAGAGAGGGAGGGTGGGGAAGGAGGGAATAAGAAAGGGAGAAAAAGAAAAAAATATGAAAAATGTTATTATGTGTACAAAGTAAATTAAAAATATATAGATACTCTACTTTGAATAAATCTAATACATGAGAAGTCTGATTAATGGAAAAAATGAATTACACATTAAAGATTACTTGGAATTATCTTTACTTGCCAAAAATTCTGTGTATATATAACATAGCATTCAATTTAATTCATCTTTTCCTACATTTTAAATTTTGTATAACCATAATGGAAGTGACACAGGCATAAATATATGAACTGCCTTAAGAGACAAGATATAATACATACCTGTGCTTCCTTTAAGACACTAATATTCCTAAATACCAAATGTGTCATCTCAATGACACTGAAAAGCTGAGGAATGTATTGCATAGAATTTGAGAAGCAAAAATTGAGATAATTTATACTTTCCAAAATCACCTCACAGGCTTATTTTAAATGAAAAGAATGTATTTTCATTTGGATATGGCCTGTTTTGAATAGTGGATACTATTTTACAGAAGAAATACCAATGTGGATATCATCACCCATCCAGCCATGTGGCAGTGTGCACTCAAGAGAGATCCATATAAGTGCCGCATCAGATGGAAATATAATTACAAACTTGTATATCCAGTCACAAGTTAAAAAAGCAACTGTGGATATCAACATGCCTCCTTTAGAATCAGAAAAGACTAAACCTGATATGATTTGTTATCAAAATGTTTGTTTCTAGATTCACTTTTTAATCATTTATACATATATAAATTATATAAATAACTACATACTATGTATGTTGAACAAGAAAAAATTCAGTCTATGAAAAGGAAAAGCATGCTCAACAATGAAAGAACAGATAAAGAGAGTAATCTGAAATAAAGGAGAACTGGCATAAATATACTGGGTTTCAACAGTCTTTACTGTAAAAAATGCCTATGGCATTTAGAAAAATAATAAGTGGACAAGAGAATACATTACTTTTGAAGTTACTAAATATGCTCTTCAACAGAAGAATTTCAGGGCAATCTTTTCTGAGGAAGAGGGTTTAGGGTAATAAACAGGATTTCAGGGTCGGGCGCGGTGCCTCAAGCCTATAATCCCAGCACTTTGGGAGGCCGAGACGAGCAGATCACAAGGTCAGGAAATCGAGACCATCCTGGCTAACACGGTGAAACCCCGTTTCTACTAAAAAATACAAAAAAAAACTAGCCGGGCGAAGTGGCGGGCACCTGTAGTCCCAGCTACTCGGGAGGCTGAGGCAGGAGAATGGCGTAAACCCAGGAGGCGGAGCTTGCAGTGAGCTGAGATTGCACCACTGCACTCCAGCCTGGGTGACAGAGCGAGACTCTGTCTCAAAAAAAAAAAATAAATAAATAACAAGAGGATTTCAGGATGCCAGAGCTAGAAGGCACCTTAAAGAAGGAGGAACCATGAGGCGGCCCTGTCATGTGACAGATATGCACAGTGAGGGTCAGTGCACTGAGCTGAACTTTGCACAGCCACTTAGCTGCTGCTGGGAACAAGACACACAAGGCTCTCTATACACCATTACCGTGTCCTGCCTCTGTTTTCATCACTTTTTTTTTTTTTTTTTTTTTTGAGACGGAGTTTCACTCTCGTTGCCCAGGCCGGAGTGCAGTGGCGCGATCTCAGCTCACCGCAACCTCTGCCTCCCGAGTTGAAGCGATTCTCCTGCCTCAGCCTCCTGAGTAGCTGGGATTACAGGAGCACGACACCACGCTTGGCTAATTTTTGTATTTTTTTAGTAGAGGCAGGGTTTCACCATGTTGGCCAGGCTGGTCTCAAACTCCTGACCTCAGATAATCCACCTGCCTTGGCCTCCCAAATTGTTGGGATTACAGGCATGAGCCACTGCACCTGGACCTTTCATGACTTTTAAGTGGAACTTCCATAGTATAATCATGGGAGCAATAACTGTATAGCTAAAGAGCATTCTCTGTAAATAAAAGTACACTCTGCATTGACACTAACCTGTAATATCAATGTTCATTTTTTTCTATTACTATTATGTTTTTGTAATAGTACATTGGTTCTCTTTCCGTGAGCGCTAGTCAATAAATTTATTTCTAAACTTATTTCTAAATTTTGAATGAAGTTGGGCATATACCCAACGACCAATTAAACTTTGGAATACATATAGTTTGGATGTTTGTCCCTGCCCAAATCTCATGTTGAATTGTAATCCACAATGCTAGAGGTGGGGCCTGGTGGGAGGTATTTGGATCATGGGGGCTGATCCCTCATGGCTTTGTGTTTTCTTTGTGATAGTGAGTTCTCGCAAGATCTGATCATTTAAAAGTGTGTGGCACCTCCCCCAACCCCACTCTCTCTCCTGCTCCTACTTTTACCATGTGATGTGCCTGCTCCTGCTTCGCCATCTAGCAGGATAATAAGCCTCCTGAAGCTTCCCCAGAAGCAGATGCCGCTATGCTTCCTGTGAAGTCTGCAGAACTATGAGCCAATTAAACCTCTTTTCTTCATAAATTACCCAGCCCAGGTATTTCTTTATAGCAATGCAAAACAGCCTAAATCAGATCCTAAAAGGGACTCCAGCACAGAGTTTTTGCAAAAGAATGCATTTAAGAAACTTTATTCAAAAATGCCCATGCATTCACTAAAATATGTTTAAAAGAACATCTAAATATTGTTAAAAGTCTGTTCCAACCAGAAGGTTCAGGTGTCCTATATGAAATAGCTAACTTGTAACTACGGTTTGGGTATCCTGGCAGAATCATTTATAACTTGATACAGTCTCTTATCAAGGTGATTTTTATGGTACCCCTTTCTTAAATATTTAAGCTAAAAGAAAGACTTCAACAAATCAAACAAGATACAAATAGCACATTAAAAGGAATCATGGGGGAAAAGGAAAACGGAGGCCCTTTATAACTTCAACTTCAAGACATAAGTATAGTCTGTAAACCTCTCCAGTTTACTGAACTCACAATTCTGGGTTCCATGCTGCCACTTATTTCTTAACGTGACATCAGCTGTACCCATCTTTCTGCACACTGGGTGATTAAATACCATATCCTTAAGCTAGGTGTTTAAAGGGATGCCTTCTTAGAGACAAATTCCCTAAATGTAAACATTTCATAGAAAAAAATTAGATTTCAGATATTAGTGGGAGCCATTTAAATGTTTCCTGTTGATTTCCTAAGGTTACAATGCCTTTGCCAAATGTAAGTTATTCTATATAAACTAACATAACAGAGTCACATGTGACAGTAATACCCTTTAATTTATAACATTTCCTCATTATAGACATTTTCTATTCTTTGGAAAGTACTTAAGTGGGAAGGAAAGTCTGTTGAGAAAAAGAGTAGGATAATACACTCAGTCTGACATCACTTGATTACTTACAAGGTAGCCTTCCGTGGTTGTGTATCTTTACTTCCACTGCTCTTGGGATCAACTGAGTTACCTGTCCCACGGGAAGTACTTGGTAAGGGAGTATTAGGAGAAAAGGAAGGTGGAACACTACTGGCATTACGAGTCCGGAATGAATCATCTGAAAGTAATACATATAAAGTCAGATATATCAAATATACTAAGAAAGAGGGTAACCAAAGAGAAGAAAAGGTTAATGATAGCTGACTTTTTCACTTTTTAAGTCAATTTTATGAGGGTAAAATTTACATACAACAAACCGCAAGAAGTTAAGGTTTTGACATATGTACACCCCCATGAAGTCATCACCACAATCAAGATGTGAGCATGTCTATCACTATGAAACAGTCCCTCATACCCCATCATGATCCTCCTCCGCCCTCTCCAAACCACTCCTGTCAACTATAAAATAGTTTGTATTGTCTAGAATTTTATATAAATGAACATACAGTATATACTCTTTTCTGTCTGGCTTCTTTCATTCAGCATAATTTTGAAATTCATTCATGTTTTATGTATCAATACTTCATTCCTATTTCTGACTGGTATTGTGTGAATATGTCAAAATTTGTTTACCCATAATATCTGTTGATAGACATTTCTATTTTTTCCAGTTTTTATATATTACAAATAAAGCTGCTATGAACACTCATGTACAAGTCTGTGTGTGGACATATGTTTTAGTTTCTTCTCAGTAAATGCATAGGAGTGGAACTGCTGGGTCATATACTAAATACATATTTAACTTCACAAGAAACTGCCAAATTGATGTCCAGAATTTCTTTTCTTTCCTGACATTTCTGCCAGGAACATGAGTATTCTGGAGAGTTACTCCACATCCTCACATACACTTCATATTGTGAGTCTTTCTAGTTTCAGACATTCTAGCAAGTGTGAAGTGGCACCTCCTTGGGTGCTTTTCTTACTGCTTTTAAATTTCCATTTCCCTAATGATTAGGATGTTAAGCATCTTTTCATGTACTTACTTGTGTATCTTTTGTGAAGTTCATGTTCAAACCTTTTTCCCATTTTAAAATTGGTTGCCTAATTTTTGTTAAGGCATCTTTGTATATTCTGGATACAAATTCTTTGGTTTATATTCTATGAATATTTCCTCCCTATCTATGCCTTGCTTTTTATTTTTTAATGCTCTACTTCAAAGCCCAGATGCTTTAATTTTGATTAAGTCCAGTATGTTAATATTTTTGCTTTATGGTCAAGATAAATCTTTGTGTATTCCAAAATCACAAAGACTTTCTGCTATATTTTCTTTAGAAAATATAGACGCTTTTATGTTTAGGTTTACAATACATTTTGAGTATAGTATAATTTTGTGTATGGTGATAAGACTTGAGATTCACAGGAACGGAAAGTCAGATACTGCATGTTTTCACTTATAAGTGGGAGCTAAGTAACGTGTACATGTGGTCACGGAATGTAGAATACTCGTCACTGGAGACTAGGAAGGGTGGGAGTGTCAGAAGGGGTGATGGATGAGAAATTGCTTAATAGGTAAAATGTACACTATTAGGTTACACTAAATGCCCAGACTTTACCACTATGTAATATATCCATGTATATCCATGTAATAAAACTGTACTTGTATGCCTTAAATTTATACAAATTTAACAAAGAATTAAGGTTTAGGGTTTGTTTTGGTTTTTGTTTCTTTAATATGGATATCCAATGGTTCCAGCACCACTTTTTAAGTAGACTTTATTTTTTAGAACAGTTTTAAGTTTACAGCACAGTTGAGCAGAAGGTACAGAGATCTCCCATATCTTCCCAGTCATACACAGCCTCCCAACTTCAATGTCTCCCACCAGTGGTACATTTGTTGCATTGATGAACCCACATTGACACATCATTACCACCCAAAGCCCATAGTTCACATTAGGGTTCACTCTTAATGGCATACATGCTATGAATTTGGACAATATATAAATGACATGTTTCTATCATTTTGGTATCATACAGAGTGTTTTCACTGCCCTAAAAATTATCTGTGCTCCATCTATTCAATTCTCCTTCCCCCAAACCCCTGACAACTACTTATCATTTTACTGTCTCCATAGTTTTATCTTTTCCAGAATGTCACATAGTTGGAATGCTACCTTTTCAATTTGCTTCTTTCACTTAGTAGTATGTATTAAAAGTTCCTTCATGTCTTTTCATGGCCTGATAGCTCATTTCATTTTAGCACTGCATAATATTCCACTGTCTGGATGTACCACAGTTTGTTTATTCATCTACCTACTGAAGAACAACTTGTTTGTTTCCAAATTTTGGCAATTATGAATAAAGCTGATATAAACACTCATGCTCAGATTTTTGTGCGGACGTAAGTTTTCAACTCCTGTGGATAAAAACCAAGGAGCACGACTGCTAGATCATATGGTAAGAGTATGTTTGGTTTTGTAAGAAACTACCAAACTGATGTTCCATAGTGGCTGTACCATTTTGTATTGCCACCAGCAACGAATGAGAGTTCCCGTTGCTTCACATCCTCACCAGCATTTGTTGTCAGCATTTTGGATTTTGACCATTCTAATAGGTGTGTCATGGGACTTCATTGTTTTAATTTGCACAAACCTGATGACATATGATGAACACCTTTGCATATGCTTATTTTCCATTGACATATCTTCTTCAGTGAGGTATCTGTTCAAGTCTTTGCCCATTTTTTAATCAGGTTGTTAGTTTTCCTACTGTCGAGTTTTACAAGTTTTTTGTATATTTTGGATAAAAGTCCTTTATCAGATTATGTGTTTTGCAAACATTTTCTCCCAGTCGGTGGCTTGCCTTCTCATTCTCTTGACAGTATTTTTCAAATAGTAGTTTTAATTTTAATGAATTTCAGCTTATTCTTTATTTCATAGATTGTGCCTTTGACATGGTATCTAAAATATCATTACTATAAGCAAGGTCATCTAGATTTTCTCCTATGTTATCTTCTAGGAATTTTATAGTTTTGCATTTTACATTTAGAACAGCGATTCATGTTTGAATAAATTTTTGTGAAGGGCGTAAAAGATATATATATATATATATATATATATTTTTTTTTTTTTTTTTTTTTTTTTGCATGTGGGTGTCTTATTGTTCCAGCTGCATTTGTTTGAAAAGACTATCTTTTCTCCATTGTATTGGCCTTGTTCCTTTGTTAATGATCATGTGACTATACTTACATGGGTCTATTTCTGGGCTCCCTATTCTGTTTCTTCAATCTGTTTGACTATTCTTTTGCCAATACCACACTGTCTTGATTGCTGTAGCTTTATAGTAAGTCCTGAAGTCAGGTGGTGTCAATCTTCCAGCTTTGTTCTTTGTCATTATTATGTTGGCTATTCTGGGACTTTTCTTCTCTAGGTAAACTTTGGAATCAGTTTGTTGATATCTACCAAATAACTCGTTGGGATTTTGACTGAGACTGCATTTAGTTTATAGATCAAGTTGGGAAGAACTGACATCTTGACAATATTGAGTCTTTCTAGCAATAAACATGAGATATCTCCTTCTTTATTTAGTTCTTTGATTTCTCCTATCAGAGTTTTGTAGTTTTCCTTATATAGATCTCGTACGTATTTTGTTAGAATTATGCCTATTTCATTTTTCTGAGTGCTAATAGTAAATGGTATTTTGCTTTTAATTTTAAATTCCTACTTGTTCAATGCTGGAATACAGGACATATTGAACTTTGCACATTAACCTTACAGAATATTAACCTTATATTCTGCATCTTCACCATAATCACTTCTTAGTTCCAGAAGTGTTTTTGTCAATTCTTGTGTATTTTCTACATAGATGATCGTGTTATCTGTGACCAAAGACAATTTGAGTTCTTCCTTCCAAAATCAGTATATCTTTTCTTTCCTTTTCTAGAACTTCCGGTATGATGGTAAAAAGGAATGGTGATGGGAGGACATCATTGTCTTGTTCCTGATCTTAGGGGGAATGCTTCTAGTTCCTCACTACTGTGATGTTATCTGCAGGTTTTTTGTAGATTTTCCTTATCAAGTTGAGGAAGTTCTCTATTCCTAGCTTACTTACGGTTTTTATCATGAATAGGTGTTGGGTTTGGTCAAATGTCTTTTCTTCATGTATTACTATGATCACGTGATTTTTCTTCCGTGGCCTGTTAGTGTGATATATTACATTAAGTGTTCTTCAAATGGTGAATTAGTCTTCTACAACTGGTATAAATCCTACTCAGTTTTGGTGTATAATTCTTTTTATATATTGTTGGATTTGAGTTGCTAATATTTTTTGACGATTTTTGCATTTGTGGTCATGAGAGATGTTGGTATGTATTATTCTTTTCTTGGAATGACTTTGATTTTGGTAGTAGGGTAATGCTGACCTCACAGAATGAGTTAGGGTGTATTCCCATTGCTTCTATCTTGTGAAAGAGATTGTAGATAACTGGTATAATTTATTCCTTAAATATTTGATAGAATTTATCAGTGAACCCATCTGGGCTAGATGCTTTCTGTTTTGGAAGATTACTAATTACTGATTCAATTTCTTTAATAGATATAAGCCTATTCAGATTGTCTGTTCTTTTTTTTATTATTATACTTTACGTTCTAGGGTACATGTGCCCAACATGCAGGTTTGTTACATATGTACACATGTGCCATGTTGGTGTGCTGCACCCATTAACTCATTATTTACATTATGTATATCTCCTAATGCTATCCCTCCCCCCTCCCCACAATAGGCCCCGATGTGTGATGTTCCCCTTCCTGTGGTCTATTTCTTCTTCTGTGAGTTTTGAATCGTGTCTCTCTCTCTCTCTCTTTTTTTTTTTTTTTTGAGATGGAGTCTTGCTCTGTCTCCCAGGCTGGAGTGCACTGGCACGATCTTGGCTCACTGCAACCTCCGCCTCCCAGGTTCAAGCAATTCTCCTGTCTCAGCCTCCCAAGTAGCTGGGACTATAGGCACATGCCACCACACCCAGCTGATTTTTGTATTTTTAGTAGAGACGGGGTTTCGCCATATTGGTCGGGCTGGTCTTGAACTCCTGACTTCAGGTGATCCACCTGTCTCTGCCTCCCAAATTGATGGGATTACAGGCGTGAGCCAATGTGCCTGGATGAATTGCGTCTTTCAAGGAGTTGGTCCATCCGGCACCATTTTAAAAAATATTATTCTATCACTATTGATTTATCTTGAAGCCTTTGTTAAAATCAACTGACTATGTATGACAACATAGAACACAATGCCTCGATTACCAGAATTTTATAGTAATTGTTGAAATCAAATTTATATTTAAGTTCTCCAGCTTTTTTCTTTTTCAAAACTATTTTGGCTACATTGGGGTCCTTTTGCATTTCAATACAGATTTTTAGAATCAGCTTATAAATTTCTGCAGAAAGACTACCAGAATTTTAACTAGGATTTCACTGAATCTCTGGATCAATTCAGAAAAAAACTGACACTGGAACAATATTAAGTTTTTCAATCCATAAACATGTTATATTTCTCCATTTACTTAGGTCTTTAGCTTCTTTTAGCAGTATTTTAAATTTTTTATGTATCTCTAGCACATTTTGTTAAATTTGTCCCTGAGCACTGTTTTTGAAGATACTGTAAATGTTATTTTTTAAAATAAACTGTCTTTTTCAGAATAGTTTTGATTTACAGAAAAATTGACACAACAGAATAAATAATTCTCATATATCCCCTTCACCCAATTTCCTCTATTAACAGCTTACATAAGTATGCAATATTTATCATATTTAATGAACCAATGCTGATACATTATTAACTAAAAGCCATAGTAGTTGTTATTTTATCTAATAACAACTTTTTCTGTCTCAGGATCCCATCCAGGATACTATATCACATTTACTTGTTAGTTCTCCTTAGCTCTCCTTGGCTGTGACAGTTTCTCAGACTTTCCCGAACAGTTTTGAGTAGTATAACTGAAGACAGGCAGAAGTCCCCACACAATGAACAGTGGAGTCGCGTTAAGTAAAAAGTATCCAACCTGGCATTCTAAGTTCTGATTCTGACCTTTCCTTACAGTTTTTGTTTGTTTGTTTTTGGGGTTTTTTTTGTTTCGGTTTTTGTTTTTTCTGAGATGGACTCTTGCTCTCTCGCCCAGGCTCGAGTGCAGTGGTGCAATCTCGGCTCTCTGCAAGCTCCACCTCCCAGGTTCATGCCATTCTCCTGCCTCAGCCTCCCGAGTAGCTGGGACTACAGGCGTCTGCCACCACGCCCAGTTAATTTTTTTTTTTTTTTTGTATTTTTAGTAGAGATGAGGTTTCACCATGTTAGCCAGGATGATCTTGATCTCCTGACCTCATGATCTGCCCACCTTGGCCTCCCAAAGTGCTGGGATTACAGGTGTGAGCCACTGCGCCCGACCTCCTTACAGTTTCATCTAACACCACTCCATTATACCCACTCCACACTTCAGCCAAACTAGTCAGCTGTTGCTCCCTGAAAACATCAACAATCATCTTTTATTTATGACTGGTACTGTGAATGGAATGTTATTCTATACACATCTCTGCCTGTCAAAATCCTAGCATACCTTAAGGTTCGTCTCAAATGACATAATCATCTTGAAACCTGTTTTGAGTCCCACAAATAAGATCTCTTCTCTACGCAAATATCTGAAACATTTGTTAAAAGATGTTCTGCTTCCATTTTCTCTTTATAGATGTGTTATTATATAGTAAATTTTTTCAGTTTCTATTTTAAGTAATAAATAACAATAATAAGCACCTTTTTCTAACCAAGAACTCTAGGAGGTATTTCATTAAACCTACAGTTCTCCCGCAACTGAAAATAATATTGAGACATTAAGATAGAATATTTTTCAAATATTTTAATAAAATATTTACTCTCACAATCTAGTTTAGTTCTGTGTCCCTACCCAAATCTCACCTTGAACTGTAATAATCCCCACATGTTGTGGGAGGGGCCCGGTGGGAGGTAACTGAATCATAGGGGTGGGTTTTTCCCATATTATTCCCATGATAGTGAATAAGTCTCACGAGATCCGGTGGTTTTATAAAAGGGCAGTTCCCCTATATAGACCCTGTTGCTTGCTGCCATGTAAGACACGTCTTGCTTTCCCTTTGCCTTCTGCCATGATTGTGAGGCCTCCCCAGCCATGTGGAACTGTGAGTCAATTAAATCTCTTCCCTTTATGAATTACCCAGTCTTGGGTATGTCTTTATTAACAGCATGAGAAGAGACAAATACACCTCATAAAACCCATAACTTAAGACTTTGGATGTAAGTTTTAGAATCTGTGGACCACATCTACTCTCTTGGTTCTTAAAGTCACTTAAAAACTAGCAAAGTTAAAACTAAATAAATTAATGCACTTAATTAAAACTTTTAAAAACCACTTCTGAATCAATATTCTTAATGATTTAGACAAAGAAATTTCTTGACAGAAAATGTTACAAGATCATGAATAAATATGCTCATTACAGCTAAGTGAAGAAGTACCAAGAGAACAGGTGAGATCCACGCAAGTCTGAAGAACCCCTTATGAACATAATCATCTGCACCATTAGCTCAAAGTTAATTCCAACCGGTTTTGTACACGTAAGTTTTTAAAGGCACTCCATATTTTAAATAAAGTTCTTAAACTCTGAATGTTCCTTAGTGCCTCCTAAAGAATTCACAGTTTTACTGAGCTGAAAGTAACCAATGGTTTTATTATTTATAGTCCAAGATATGGGGAAAATTTTAGTTCATCAACTTTCTGTTGTTATCAAATTATTTCTTGTGATAATCATAGTCTACCCTGCAGAACCATTCTATATACTGTACGTGAATTGCCAATGCTTTAATGCTAGAAAGATTTTCTCTTCCAGCAAATGAAAAAGTTTACAGAACAGCCAATGAGTATATACATTCCCCATAAGAATTAAAAAGAAGGCCGGGTGCAGTGGCTCATGCCTGTAATCCCAGCACTTTGGGAGGCTGAGGCGGGCAGATCACGAGGTCAGGAGATCGAGACCATCCTGGCTAACACAGTGAAACCCCATCTCTACTAAAAGTACAAAAAAAATTAGCCAGGCGTGGTGGTGGGCACCTGTAGTCCCAGCTACTTGGGCGGCTGAGGCAGGATAATGGCATGAATGTGGGAGGCGGAGCTTGCGGTGAGCCGAGATCTCGCCACTGCACTCCAGTCTGAGTGACAGAGCGAGACTCCGTCTCAAAAAAATAAGAATTAAAAAGAAAAAGAAGACAGAATACTCAAAATGCAACCTAAAAAGAAAATGTAATTAAGCTGTTAAAAATTTCAGATCTTTGAGCAGATTCACTATTTACACTAAAAAAAGCTACCATAGATCAGTAGTAAAATTTTCAACCAATATTTCCAAAGTATAAAGTTAAAAACACACATTTAGCCACTAGTAATTTTAACAATATAGTCTACATTATTTATAGTACAATTCTATGCTCTGTTATATAAACCAGAGGCCAGCAAATTACAGTCTGTGGGTCAAATCTTGCCCACTGCCTGTTTTTGTAGATAAAGTTTTATTGGAATACAGCCACATCTATTCATTATGTACTGTCTATGGCTGCTTTTACTCAGTAACAGCAGAGTTCAGTAACTGTGACAGACCAATTTAGCCAACAAAGCCTGTACGTTTACCCTCTGGCCCTTCAGGGAAATGTGCTGACCCCTGCCACAAACTTCCAAATACATCATATTGTAAATGTTTAGCTGTTCATCTAGATTTACAGTGAAGTCCTGTTGTTTCTAACTTCCTTAAAAATTACTGTGAAACCTTTTTGTCTGTGCCTCAGTAAGCCTTGCCAGTATGGTAAAACATACCCTATCACTTTTGTTCTTTTTCTATTTTAAAAGTATTAAACTGAGTCTTGAACAGTGAAGACAAAATAGTTTAGTCAAATATTTTCTCAATTGCTAGACAAAAATTTAATTTCTTAGGGATCTGATAAAGATATAAATTTAGGAAAACACTGTATCTAGTACTAAATAAATAGGTCATTTAAGGAAAATAATATTTTGTTAAATTTAGCAATTTTTTGAAGAACTTAGATTGCTACTTACCAGTTAGTGAAAGCACAGAAGTCTTTCCTAACCCTGAGACAGGTGTATATCCTGCTGTAGAACTTTTACTAGAAAACAACATGATTTAGTTTAAAATACAAAAACACACTTTCTTACAATCTCAGTCATCTAACACTCGTGCTGTTTTAATCTTCTTTTTAATGCTTTCCTCTACTTACGAAACATTTGTTGCTTTCATTTCTCATTTTTTTAATATTCATGCCTCACAACACTTACTTTGTCCATAACTTAAAAGCATGTCCTTAAACTTTTGCTTCATCAGAATTACAGTTTTTCTTTTGAGGTTCAAGCAAGGCAGCTAAGATGGGTAAAATTTTCTTGGAAATAAAACTTATCTTTAGTTATAATCTCTTTTTTCTATCTTGAGATCTCTATTGGCCAGGTACTTTTGATGGATCTATTGATAATGCCCCGAAACACAGCTGAAATTCTATAAGAAGCTATCTTTAAAAGAAAAATATTTTGTCCTGAAACATGTAATTTATCTTGATAGACAAAGGAATAGTTTTAAAGATATTTGTTTCCTTAAAATTACTTTGCTTGTCAATTGACATACAGCTGTTTGTCAGCACATATAAAAAATCATGGTAATTTAATTTTTATTGATTCTCTCCTCATCTTAACTGCTTGTAATTTTGTCTCCTAGGCTAAAGGGGAAACCAGACATTCATCTATTGTCAGGATAACTCTGCTGTGATCACTTTATCATATTAACATGCCAATGGCTTCTTTATAGACAGAAACAATATTAGTAGCAAAGCAATGTCTATACACATTTAGCAAATGGAGCATACTCATACCTATTAAAAGTTAAGTGGAATATGTGACATACTACTACCTCCCTCATGAAATAATATATGGATTCTATGATATTATTAAATAGTATCATGTCAGTATTCTTCCTAGAATGCCAGAATACCTATTTTTGTGAAAACTGTTGGAGGTCTCTTATTTTTAAAAATAACAATTCCTACAGAAGAAAACTGACAAAATATTGGCCTATTAAAAAAAACCTCAAAATTTATTCTGATTTTTATAAAATGTGAACTCATATATATGAAGATGTGAATAAAGATAAAAATTATGTTAAAAATTGAAGAGCTGACAGATCATACCTAGCACATTTCTCTAAGTTGCCATATTTTGCATGAAAAGCTTGATTATTAAAAGACTGGCTTCGAATCAATTTGGATTTCTTGATTTCTTTACCTAGAGTAACAAGCAGAAAAAAGGAAAATGTATTCAGTTCATCCTCAGCTGCTTCAACCCCCATTTCCTCCCCAACTACCATCATTTTCAGTAAAACACAGATGGCTTTAGCCCTTTTTTTCTTTAATTTGGGCTCACTGAAGTATCTCTTACCCTTACTAGCAATTAAAAACTACCAAAACAACTAATGATAGAAGGTGAAAAGTGATTTAGAATGAGATATATTATCCTATTGTATTTCATCTAATAGAGTGACTTTGCCAGCAATTAATTTTTATAAAAGGAAGAAAAATTATAGAAAGATATAAAAGAAGTTATTTCTTACTTGTCGATGGGGTGACAGAAGAGGGTCCAGGAACAGAAATGGGGATGTTCTTGGGCAGACTTTGCGTTGGTGTCTTAGTGTCTCTACCTAAAATAAATTCTGCTTTAAGTTCTATAATTTCCTCTAAGTCCTTATTAATCTCCATAAATATACAAGACAATTCAGACAATATGAATCACTATCCCTAGCTAAGCAGCTTTCTTTTCCAAATATTCTTATTTGGCAAGATTTACACATTTCAATCTTTGTTATTCAGTGATCAGTTTCACAATCTTACAGTTGTTATCAAACTTGAAGCTTTCCTTTTGAAGGATCTGAATGTCCACTCTGGTTCCTGCCTTTCACTTATGTATTCTTAACATCTGTACCACATTAAACAGCCAATTTTCAAAAATGACTTTTCAAAAATGAAAAAAAGTAAAGCAATTTTCCATATCAAATAAAAAATTCAGCATGGTCTTTCAGAATACCAGGATGCAACATTAATTACGTAACTAAGTGGTGAAGACATAGAAAAATTACTTACGTTTCTTTTCAAACACTTTATCACTCATGGGCCTTCCATCATTCTGTTGCTTTTCTTTCTCTAATTGTTCCTGTTATTAAGACAGTATCTTGCATTAAAGGTACAACTGAAGTAGGTTTAGAAAATTCTTCTGAGAAATTAAGCATTAGAGATTCAAATAAAGTTCATAAAAATGCCTAAAAGAAGTAGTTTTTTCCAATGTTAGTGTCTAAAGAATTCAGGGTTCTTTCAGATTTGTGCTCTTTTCATATCTACAGAATTCGACCCTTGGGGGTCTGTCAAGCTAAAACAATGAGTTTGATATCGATGTAATAATGACCCTTCATTTTCTAGATGGTATTTCCTAAATCGCATTAGTAAAATATCCCTTACTTTGGTCACTTCAATTTCAGATTGGTAAATGGCTAAATAATATCTTTCTTTAAAAAGACTGAAAGAAAAGAAAATGGTCTTGGATATTTTTAAATGCTTTGTTTAAGTAAAATATACATAGAGAGGCCGGGCACCATGGCTCAGGCCTGTAATCCCAGCACGTTGGGAGGCTGAGATGGGTGAGTTATCTGAGGTCAGCAGTTTGAGACCAGACCAGGCAACATGAAGAAATGCCATCTCTACTAAAAACACACAAAAAATTAGCCAGGCATGGTGGTGCACGCCTGTAATCCCAGCTATTCAGGAGGCTAAGGCAGGAAACCTGGGAGGTGGAGGTTGCAGTGAGCCGAGCTCATGCCACTGCACTCCAGCCTGGGTGACAGAGTGACACTCCATCTCAAAAAAAAAAAAAAAAAAAAAAAAATATATATATATATATATATATGTATAAAGAAAGTGCACAAATTATAGGTGTACAAATTCATAGCTCAATGAATTTTCCCAAAATAGACGCACTTGTATAACCAGCTCCAATATCATGAAACAAAACATTACCAAAACAAAGGAGGCCCTTATGCCAACAGAACAAATAGGCAAGAAAATCAACAAACACAGCAAGTTCTGAACAAACTTGGTATAACTGACATGCTAGAATACTACAGTCAACAAGTGGAGAATAAACATTCTTTTAAAATGCACATGTAAACTAAGGAAAAATATGGAGAAAATAAGATAAAGAATTTCCACATAGAAGTGGACTATATTTAAAAATCAAATGGAAATTCTGAAACAGAAATAAAGCATGAAACTGAAAAATTTCATTGGGTGGGATTAACAGAGTTATCCATTTTCTACACGTTTGCCTCTATTATCTTGATCATATTAATCACAGTTATCTTGAAGTCCTTATCTACTAACTCCAGTATCAGGATTATCTGTGGTTCTCTTTCTATTGTCTGTTTTTGTCTTGGGCTAGGTCATTTGGTCCTAAAATTTTTTGAGAGTCTTCCCTACAGCTTCTCCCACTGGCAATCCTGAATTCTAATCTTGCTTTGAAAGACTGCTGAAATAATAAACTTTGCTTTTCAGAGGATTTCCACTTTAAGCACACAAATTATTGGCATTGAAATAGAAAATATAAAAAGAACCAAATGGAAATTTTACAACTGAAAAATATAATATTGGAAATAAAAAATTCACTGGATAGGCTCAGCAGCTGAATGGAGATGACAGGGTGGTAACACTGAAGTTACATCAAGAGAAATTATTCACACTGAGTAGCACAGAGTATTTTTAAAAATTGAGAAAGAACAAAGACTCGTAGGCCTATGGACAATAATAATATGTACAATTGGTAACCCAGAAATAAGAGAGAGAAAAATTAGAACAGAATATATATTTAAATAAAAAATGACCAAATCTTCCCAAATTTGGGGAATGATATACATTTACAGATTCAGTAAGATGACCAAATCCAAACTGGATAAATTTCAAGTAAATAATGCCTTGACACATCAAAAGCAAGCTGCTAAAAACAAAAGATAAAAGAAAAAAAAAATTTAAGTGTCCAGAGAAAAACAATGCTTCATACAGAAGCACCAACAATTCAAATGAGAGTAGCTATTGTATCAGATGTTATGGGGGCCAGAAGACAGATAGAAACACATTATTAGAATGTAGTAAGGAAAAAGCTGTCAGCCCAGACTTCTATACCCGTGAAAATATCCTTCAGGAATGAAGGTAAAAATAAGACATTTTAGATAAAGAAAAAATAAGAGAAGTTGTCACCAGAAGGCCTGCACTTCAAGATTTGCTAAAGAAAATTATTTTACCTTAAGGAAAAAAACACCAGAGGGAAATTTAGATCTTAAGCAATGAATGAAGAGCACTGGAAATGGTAAACATCTGAGTAAACCATAAAAGTTTACACTAAGAGTGTATTCTTCAAGATACATATGACAACTTAAAGCAAGATTACAACACTGTCTGGTGGGCTCTTCAATGCAGATATAATTCATATGACAACTGTAACATGAAGAATGGGTGTGGAGGGGGTAAAGAGATTTGTATTATTGTTAAGTGACATGATATAATAACAACAATATGTAGACTAAAAGGTTAGGTATGGATATTAAAATCTCTAAAGAAATAAGCCAAAAAAAAAAAATTCCAAAAAAACGGAGATGTGAAGAACACAAATCACTAACACAAGAATAAAATGGTTATCCCCATAGATTAACACCATAATTAAAAGGATAATAGGAGAATATTACAAATAACTTCATGCCAACAGATTTGTCAGTTTAAATAATATGTAAACTGGGGTGGAAGGGAAGCAACTTACCAAAATTGACAACAGAAGAAAGAGAAGATCTACATTCTCTAATGTCTCTTAAGGAAACAGAATCGATTATGAAAATACTTTCCAAAATGAAAACTCCAGGCTTAGATAACTTCACTAGTGAATTCTATAGAACACTCAAGGCAAAAATAAAACCAATTTATACAAAATTGGTCAGAAAACAGAGAAGGTGGGAATACTATTCATCTTGTTTTATGAGGCCAGAATAACATTAATACCAAATTTGATCCCAAAAATGACAAAAAGGGGAATTATAGGCCAATTTCACTATGAATCTATGAATACAGATGCAAAATCCCTTAACAAAAACATTAGCCAAGAATCCAATAGAGAAAAAGGATAATAAACCATTGCCAAATAGGGTCTGTCTCCAAAATACAACATTAGTTTACCATTTGAAAAATCAGGGTAGTTCAGTGTATTAGCAGAATGAAGGAGAAAAACCAAGTATCATTTCTAGATATAACACGGGCGCGGTGGCTCAAGCCTGTAATCCCAGCACTTTGGGAGGCCGAGGCGGGTGGATCACGAGGTCAGGAGATCGAGACCATCCTGGCTAACATGGTGAAACCCTGTCTCTACTAAAAATACAAAAAACTAGCCGGGCGTGGTGGCAGGCGCCTGTAGTCTTGGCTACTCGGAGGCTGAGGCGGGAGAATGGTGTGAACCCGGGAGGCGGAGCTTGCAGTGAGCCGAGATCACGCCACTGCACTCCAGCCTGGGTGACAGAGTGAGACTCCGTCTCAAAAAAAAAAAAAAAAATACAACAACCATTCATAAAAACTCTTAGCAAACTAGGAGTAAAAGGTAACTTCTTCAATCTGATAAAGGGAATCTACATAAAACCTATTTCTACCATCACACCTGACGATGAAAGACAACTGTTTCCCGCTAAGATCAGTAAAAATACAAGGATGCCTACTTCTAACACTTTAATTTTACTGGAGGTCTTGGACCTTGTGATAAGACAAAAGAAATAAACAAAAGGCATAAATATTGAATAGAAAGAAGTAACACTGCTGTATTTAAAGAAGATATGATGGCTTACATATAAAATTTTAGTTTTAGAAAATCTAAAAAACAATTTCTAGAACAAATAAACAAATTTATAAAGTTTATAAGACACAAGGTTAATATAAAAAAAAAAAACAAAAAACAGTATTCTTATACTCCAGGAACAAAAACACTGGAAAGTGAAATAAAAAATGCATACTTCCATTTACAATAATGCCAAAAACATAAAATACCTAGAAATAAATTCTGGACTTCATATCAAAATGCAAAGGCCCTAGACTGGTCAAAGCAATTTTAAGAAGGAACAAAGATAGAAAACTTACCCTACCAAATTTAAAAAACACTATAAAGTTACAATGATCAAGACAGTTTGGTATTACTTAAAAGATAAACTTATAAATAAGTGGAATACAATAATAGGAAGTCAAGAAATAGACATATATGTGTACAACTAATATTTTTTAAGGACGCTAAGACAATTCCATGGGGAAAAGAAGGCTTTTCCCCATTGTTGTTATTCCAACAAATGGTGCTGGAATAAATGAATATTCCCTATGGAAAAAAATAAACATATATTATATAAAAATGTACTTGAAATGAATCATAAACCTAAATGTAAAACCTAAAATGAAAATTTTTAAAAGACAATAGAGGAAAAAGTCTATGATCTTAGGATAGACAAAGGATTCCTGGAACAAAAAAGAATTGTCAAAGAAAGAATTGATAAACTGGGCTTCATCAAAATTAAATATTTCTGTTTTTCAAAAGACACCATGAATAAATGAATAGATAAGCTTCAAACTCCAAGAAAACACTCATAATATGTATATCTGTCAAAGAAATTGTATTCAGAATGGATTAAAAGCTCTCACATCTCAATAATAATAAACAACCCACTTAAAATTCTGAAAACAAACTTTATCAAATAAGAGATAAAGATGGCCAGTAAGCAAAGACAAGATGCTTGACATCTTTAGGCATCAGGAATAGAAAAAGGGATTTAAAAAAAACAACAAGATACCATTACATACCCAATAGTATGGCTGGTAACTACAGCATAGACAATGTGGATGTAAAATGGTACAACCACTTGAAAACAGGTTTTTGTTTGTTTGTTTGTTTTTGAGACAGTCTCGCTCTGTTGCCAAGGCTGGAGTGCAGTGGCATAATCTCGGCTCACTGCAACCTCCGCCTCCTGGGTTCACGCCATTCTCCTGCCTCAGTCTCCCAAGTAGCTGGGACTACAGGCACCCGCCACCACGCCCAGCTAATTTTTTGTATTTTTTAGTAGAGACGTGGTTTCACCATGTTAGCCAGGATGGTCTTGATCTCCTGACCTCGTGATCCACCCGCCTTGGCCTCCCAAAGTCCTGGGATTACAGGTGTGAGCCACCACACCCAGCCTTTGTTTTGTTTTTTGTTTTTTTTTACTTTTTTTTTTTTTTTTAATTAAGCATGCCATACAATCCAGCCATTCTATTCCTAGGTATTTACCCAAGAGAAATGAAAACATGTCTAACCAAGGACTTTTTCACTAATGTTCAAAGCAACTATATTTGTAATATCCCCAAATTAGAAGCCAAATGTCTATAAAGAGGTGAATGGATAAGCAAATTGTGATATTCCATAATATAGACTACTATTCAGAAATAAAAAGGAATGACTTCTTGATGCATACAACAATATGGATGAATCTCAAAGTAATTATGTTGGTAGAAAGATACAGAACCAAAAATAGTATTAATACCTAATATATTATTCCATTTATATAAATTACGGAAACGCAAGCTAATCTACATTTTCAGAAACTAGATCATTGGTTTTTGGGGACTAGAGTAGAATACATGGATTACAAAGGGGCAGAAATCTTTAAAAGGATAGAAATGTTTCATATTTTCATTGTGGTGATGGTTTCATCAATATGTCAAAACTCATTGAATAGTACACTTTAAATATGTGTAGTTGTCAGTTATACTTCAGCAAAGTAGTTTTTTTAAAAGGCTCTCAAATATAGTTTTCTTTCTAGTTCATAAAAGAACAGATTTCAAAAAACTGGGACTGTCATTTAAGAAGAAAAAAGAGTAATGTGAAATGGTGAGAGGAAAGAAATGATTAAGTTTAATAACAAAACACAGTTTTATTAATCAGAAAAGAGTATATGTGTGTGCATATGAAAGCAACATACCATTTCCAAAAGAAGTAGTTCTTCTCTTTCTTTCTCTTGATCCAACAAATCTTTCTCATAAAACTTTTTCTGAAACTGTTTAAAGTTTAAAATGAAGTTGTGAAACATTAGTGATGAGTTTCTGCCAAGTTTAAAATATTCCTTTTAATAGAAGTGATATGGTTTGACTCTGTGTCCCCACCCAAATCTCATCTTGTAGCTCCCCTAATTCCCACATGTGGCAGGGACTGGGTGGGAGATGACTGAATTATGGGAGTGCGTCTTTCCCACGCTGTTTCATGATAGTGAATGAGTCTCTCAAGATCTGATGGTATTGTAAGGGGGAGTTTCCCTCCCTCTTTGCCTGCCGCCCAGATGTGACTTGCTCCTCCCTGTTGTCTGTCATGATTGTGAGGCCTCCCCAGCCATGTGGAGCTGTGAGTCCAATTAAACCTCTTTCTTTTGTAAATTGCCCAGTCTTGGGTATGTCTTTTTCAGCAGCATGAAAATGGACCAACACAATAAGGTAAAGAGAGTATACTTACAGCATCCATAGACATTTCCATTCTGTCCAACTCTAACACAGTCTATAAGGAAAGTTTTTAAAATTATTCTAAAGTAATTAAATTAAAACAACCAATCATTTCTCAGCAAGTTATTTTGCAGAGGCAGGTTCAAATAGGAGACTTCTGCACTATGGGGTAGACTAAGTCAGAAAATTAAAGTTCTGCCCAATTCTACATTGTACTTACAATCAACCTTTATATAATAATGCCAGGGTCAATTTTAACTTTTGAAAGTTTTTAACCTTAAGAAGACCAAGTCTACAGGCATACTTCAAATACCAAATGCATATAATCTAACTAATTTCTAGTAACTCCCAGTGCCAATTTTTTCTGAATTTTCAGAAACATAATGTAGCTTTTGAATTTTTAAAAAGTCTTTTAGCTATATATGAATGAAACAAGCCATCATTTGGCCGAATAATCCTTAGTTCCCTTCTGTAGAAATTTTCTATCTGCTCTAAAAATATTCTCTCAATTTACTATTTGTCTTTTGGAATACACTAGTTTGAAACAAATTATTCCAATCGAAACAATGGTCAATCTAACCCAGGGTTCTGTCTCTGATAGAGGGCAGTACTTCTAAAACTTACTCTACACAAGTAACCCTAATGGCCAAAATAAAGTACATTTGGATATGCATATGCCCAAAACTATCCATGACAAATATTAAATTTAGTGAAAGTTTTTTCTGCTGAAATTTATGGAACATTCATAATGTATGCCATGAAATACTCTCTATTTATATAAAGTTACTTTTCATATTAAAAAACTGATAAAACTATTCAATTTTTATCCAAAAGTTTTGTGTAGCTTTCTGGGAGTTTTCTATACTAATGTCTCATTATACTACAGAATTTCCATGGGACAGACTGGCTTCATTATATGCAGCATACTGAAAATAAGAGCTGTACTCCAGAATAATCCACTATAGACTAATAATCCATTAATTTAATTACATCATTGTTACACCTGTATAGGGTTAACTTATATTGTCTCTTGAATTAATAAATTATTCTGGAAAAGTAATTAGCCCTCTCATGTTTATTATTTTGACAAGTTAACTCCATTGCCTAAACTTCTATACTTCAATATTAAACAGTAAGGAAGGAACTGTCTGGTAGAAACAAGTGTGTGTGTGTACTTTTAGATTTAAATGCACGTCCAACTCTAGGTATTTCTGGTTATATCAGTTAATGAAAGAAGAATTCACATTTCATTAAAATTAAAACTATACTAATTAATACTAAGTCATCAAATCACTTAATTAAAAGATTCCTCATGTGACATCTGGCAATGATTTCTAGAAAAAAAGAGAAAAAAAGTAAGAATTCTCTTTTTACTCGCCACGTATACTAATTTATTTATGACATTAATAAGGAAATTTCCCTCACTACAAATAAACGCTCAAAAACAACGTGTCCTGAAGTTTATATTCAGATTCATAAAAGTAAATAATTTCACTTGAATTTATAAAAGATTAGTTATATATTCAGCATAAACAATTTTTGAAGAATAAAAATTATTCTAAGATGTGGCTCACTAACCCAAATTTTTACTGTTTAGTTTTTCCAACATTTCCAAAGAATCCATATACTACGATCTCATGCTAAAACAAACAAAAAACTCACAGGATACAATCTTACATTATTTACAAAGATGCACTCAGAAGTAGGTAAGAGGTCTCTATTCTAGTCCTCCTGATTCTGCTACTTACTAATATGATCTCAAGTAGACACAATATTTCTAGGCACAGAACTTCTATAAAGTCAAATAGACCCCTGAATTAACTCGAAGCGCCCTTCCAGGGATAAGTTTCTATAAAATGTGACTTTCCCAATTTTACCAAAAAAGTTTCACTGGATTATAATCACTTATGAAGAAAATCTGATGAATAAAACATTCATTATTAATTGAACAGTGTTTATTGAGCACCTAACGTGTCAAACATGGGCTTATATTACTAGTAATAAAAGTTTAATGTCTAGGTGCCCTTCAAAACTTTCATATCCAGTTGTAGCACCTGTCAACCAAATCATTCACTAATTCTTACAACTTTAGCAAGGATAAAAATATTTTAATATATTGCTATCCTGTCAAGCTGAAATAGTGAAGTTATGATTCTTACTACCTTAATAGAAAAAAAAATGCAACATTCTGGCAAGAGTGATACTTACCCTTTTTACAATAGCCAGAACATCTTTATCTTTTTCTTGACACAGGAGTTTTCTCACACACATTTCTAACTGCTGAAGTAGATGCTTATCAGCAGGAATCTTCAGAGTAGATTTCACTTTGGGCAACAGGTAGCAAAGTTTCATTCTATAATAAAATAGTATTTACTCTTGAATGAATTTAATAACTAAGAATAACAGTAACATGAAACAAAGAAAAATCAAGTTTTAGATAGCCTGAGACTTCATTTATTCATGCAAGATATATTCATGGAGTGTCTATTATGTGTCAAGCATTCATCATGCTGGATGCTGAGATACAACAGTAAATAAAACCAACAAAATTCTCTGCTCTCCTGGAACTTACATTCTAGTATGGGAGCAGAGAAGAGAAAAGAAACAAGGAAAATCTGTCAGATAGTGTTAAATGCTATGGAGAAAAATAAAGCAAGGAATAAAGGCATGTGAGTGCCAGGGGCGGGGATTAATCGGTTTTAAAGCAGGTGGCCAGAGAGGGTTGTCACTGAAGGTTCCACTGAAAAGATGGTATTTAAGCAAAGACCTAAAGAAAATTAGGGAATAAGCTATGTGAATATCTGGAAAAGAGCATCACAGCAAATATGGAGAGCTTGTCTCTACTGTTGGTCCAAATGAGCAAATTGGCCATTGTGCCAAAACAGAGTGAAGGTGAGACTAGCAGGAGAGCTCAGAGTGGTAAATAAGAGGCTTTGAGAGCCACTGTAAGGAAATTGCCTTTTATTTTGAGTATGACAAGAAGCCATTGGTAGATTTTGAGCAGAGGGGTGAAATGATCTGACAATGTTTTACAAGCATCATCTGCCTACCGTGTTGAAATTAGACTGTAGCTGGTCAAAAACAGAAAAAGAGAAACAATAGGAAAAGGTCTTAAAATAATTCAGGCAAGAGATGATGGTGCATTGATCCAGAGTGGTAGCAGGAAAAGGTGGTAAGAAGCAGTTGCATTCTGAATCTCTTTTTTTTTTTTTTTTTTTAGAGATGTAGTCTCACTCTGTCACCCAGGCTGGAGTGTAGTGGCGTGATCTCAGCTCACTGAAAGCTCCGGCTCCCAGGTTCACGCCATTCTCCTGCCTCAGCCTCCCGAGTAGCTGGGAATACAGGCGCCCGCCACCACGCTCAGCTAATTTCTTTTTGTATTTTTAGTAGAGACAGGGTTTCACCGTGTTAGCCAAGATGGTCTCGATCTCCTGACTTTGTGATCCGCCTGCCTTGGCCAAAGTACTGGGATTACAGGCGTGAGCCACCGTGCCTGGCCTGGATTCTGAATATCTTTTACAAGCAGCAGAATGTACTGAGGGATTGGAGGTAGAATGACAGAGAGAAGAATTTATTTAAGGTTTTGATCTAAGCAGGTGGGATGGTTATTTCCTGAGATGGAGAAGACTACAGAAGGAGCAAAAGCAGATAAGAAAGATGAAGACTGAATTCTAGACAGATTAAGTCTGAGATGTCTATCAGATATACAGTGGAAATGCTAAGTGGGCAACAGGCTCAATAAGTTGGCTATCCATCTAGCCTATCCAGAGTAGATGTCAATGCTTCAGATAAAGTGAGGAATCTTCAGCAAGTAGATGATATTTAAACCATGAAATGGGAGAGATCATCAAGGTAATATGTACAGTTAGAGAAGAAAAGGATAAAAGGACCTAGTCTAAGGTGGTCTAAGGCACTACCACAGTCTAGACTGGGTTGGAAAGGAAGAAACAAGGAGGTTGAAGAATGCCAGGAAGGTAAGAGTAAATCCCAGAACCTAAAAAAAAAAAAAAAAAAAAAAGCCTTTCCAGGAGGAGGCGTTTCAGAGGAAATACTCTGCTTTGCTAAGCTAAAAGTCTACTCTTTTTCCATGGCTGTTTTAGAGAGGGATGCTAGGTGGGTATCTATTTTATAGCTGCTATGTTCATTTATTCATCTGAATGCTCTCCAAATTATTATTTTTTATCTTTATTGCAACCCTTGAGACACCTGAATTCCATTTTTAGAGTTTCCAGAACACTTTCTCAGCTGAATCTTTACTTGAGGATTCTTCATATACAACAAAACTTGCTTTTTATTTAACCAAAAAGGGTAAAGAAGCTCCTCCTGTAGAATTTCCAGCACTATAAATAGCAACAATGGTCTCAATCTCATTCACAGTTCACCACGGATACAGCCTAACCTAGCAATGCTTTCTATAATTAAGGAATATCAACCCCCCAAAGAAATTATATCATTTCCGGCAGCTGTGGAAAAGGCTTCTCTGAATACCAAGAGTCTTTTTCCAGCTTGATAGTGTCTAAACTTGGTGAATTTAAATTTTAAACATTAACTTAAGGAAAAACAAAAACACTTAACAATCTATGCACACTCCATTCTTTATAACCCAAGGCATGTCTAGAAAATAGATATTCAGCAGAAGCTACCCAATCCATTGCAGTGATTCATCTCTATGAGACTCCTGGGCCCCTGAGATGATCTAATTCTTGAGATTAGGGACCACACCTTTCAGATAATTTATGTATGTTATCTCAGTTATTTGTGCCTCAGAATACTTTATAAATTAGGTACTAAGGAAATCAGTGCACACAGAAGTTTTGTAACTTGGCTAAAGATACACATTTAATGTAGAGCTGGAATTTCAGCTCAGGCAGTGTGGCAACAGAAACTGTCCTCCTAACCAACATGATCCTACCACCCTTGCCTGTGATGGCTTTCATTCTATCTGCACATCTCTAAAGCACTGAGCAAGTGCTTTTATACCCAAAGCCAGTTAGCATACAGTGTTGTCGGATACATTTCTTGGCTGGCAGCTGGCCAGGCAAGAGAGTAGGAACCAAGACACACAGTTATACAATAATCTGCTGTCCTGCAAATCTCTGAAATTAACAGAGTAATAATTAATTATTCTTCATTTGGTTTTTTGAATTGGCAGATTTCTTTCTCATAGAGTCAATGTCATGCTCTTTGTTACACTGATCAAAGTAGAGATGATGTCATTTCCTTTCAAATTATTTTTGTCAACTGCTTGATAAGTGACAATACATCACATTGAAAGTTGCTTTTATAGAATCACAATTGCAATTCACAAAATGTTCTTAAAGCTGGACCCATTAGTTGTTTAGGAAAAGTTAAAATCTAAAGAATTACCAAAGGTTCCTTTTTTTTTTTGAGATGAAGTCTTGCTCTGTCACCTAGGCTGGAGTGCAGTGGTGTGATCTCAGCTCACTGCAACCTCCACCTCCCAGGTTCATGCGATTCTCCTGCCTCAGCCTCCCAAGTAGCTGGGACTACAGGCGTGTACCATCACGCCTGGCTCATTTTTGTATTTTTAGTAGAGACGGGGTCTCACCATGTTGGCCAGGCTGGTCTCAAACTCCTGGCCTCAAGTGATCCCGTCTGCCTCGGCCTCCCAAAGTGCTAGGATTACAGGCATGAGCCACGATGCCCAGCCCAAAAGGTTCTTTTCAATTCACTTTAAATGTCAGCAATACCCCACCTCTCATTTATAAAGCACAAGAAACATACACCAAAAATTAAAGTCAATGCAGTTGTGCTTTCTGTATTTTCTCACATTTAAAATACAAAACAAAAACTTCTAGATTTGTTCCCATTAAAAAATGCTCATAAAATTCTTAGGTTGAACTTTTCAATATCTTTTGACAATTCATCTTCATATATATCTCAACACCAAGACTATTAATCTCAGTTAGCTTATTATCTCACCAACTCTTCCTATTAAAAAGTTTTGACGTTTTACGTATTGCCTAAAATTCACATCAGTTGTTTATAAAAGTGGTACATATGCATCTTTCAGATGCATAAAACTAAGTGCCCCTAATGTATGGAAATTCAGCAGGGAGTTCTAGAGTTTGTTCAGGAGAGCCTTTGGCCAACTGACTCTGATATCTCTCTTTCCTGCAGATCTGAGTTCAAGTTCCAAATAGAGACACAGGACTTAAAACACAGTAATCTAATGGCTGGGCTTAAATTTCTTTTAAACAGGAGGGTTTAAAATTATTTTCATTCCATTATCAAATGTACAAAAATAGTTCTTAAGTAATAACATGCATGTACTTTAATGTCACTGAACTACACACTTATAAATGGTTAAAATAGTAAATATTATATTATACATATTTTACCACAATAAAAAAGGAAGTGTTGTGCTCATTTGGAGAGAAAAAGGACAAAATATATTTATTATTTTTTTCCATTTCCAGGCAAGCCATTTTCAGATCTGTTCCTTCCAACTTAACAGTTAATCAAATGAAATTAACATTTTACTGGATTTCAAAAATATAAGGCAGCTAAACATAGAAGACAAGATGAAGACTTTGAAGCAGTTCTATTTCTTTGAAAAAATGGGCCTCTAAAAACTAACAGATGCTCATCAAACAACTTTGAAGTGATAAGGCGACTGACCATCTTTTCTTTAGTTTTAATGGTAGATAAATTAATAATAGCTACTCGATCTTCTAATCATTTCAATGTGTATATCCAAATGGCCGAAGAAGCTTACCAATCTGGCTTTGACTTACTGCTCTCAATCCAGTAAAGACAAAAGATCTGAGACAGTGTTGAAAGAGTATGCTTCCAAGTCTTACTGATACCCATCAATTATGAATACTAAGAATTTCAAAGCACATGTAAATTCTTGACTTAAGTTTTTAATTGGCTAAGGAAAAGATTTTGCATATGTTCACTATAGTAGATAAAAATAAATACAATTTCAAATATTTTCATTGATTGATAACATACCTCACATTTGCTACTGGATCATGTGTCAGTTCAATAGCAGGTAGAAAGAAATATTTACAGAAAAATGATTTGGAAAATATCTCTATAATAAATTCACAGGTATCCAAAAATCGAAGTCTATTCCAGTAACTTTTTCCTTGGCCCAATTCTAGAAACAACAACAAAAATTATCTTGTTAATTTTTCCTACATGAAATTAATGTGATAAAGTTAGACACACAAAACGCATAACAAGTTTCTTCATACCCACAATATGGCTAGCAAATATAAGAGATAAGAGGAAAAAAATCATTATTATATACCTCAGATTTGTAAATCCCCAAATTGACACCTCAAAAACCATAAAAAAGTTTTGTCAAACATTTCATTCAATTTCATAAGCATTTATTAACTATGGAATGACTGTATTTACTACTTTTTATCACCCACTATGTGCTAAGTACTCTATACATATTATCTCATTTAGCCCTGAAAAGCAGCCCAAAGAGGTGCACATACTTCTTGCTCCTAAAAAATAAGGATACTGAGATTCAGTGAGTTTAAAGTCACACATTTGGCAGGTGCAGAGCTAGAATTCAAACACAAGTCTGTATAACTTCAAAGTGTTTTAAAACCAAATTAACTGTTTTGTTCCCTTTGTTTCCTTAAAAATGCCTAAAGTAGATATAGTCACATATAAACAGCCTTACTGACAATAATTCAGGTCAATATTAAAAGGCTAATTTTCTACTTTTTACATAAATGTTCAAAAACAAAACCAAACTGAATCTTCTTTCAAAATAAAACATTCTAAACATGAGCTCCTACCACTGAATAATGAAAACCGAATTAAAATAAGATTATAAAAAGAAAGATTAAAGTATACTGAGCATACTTTTTCTTAAATGGAATTTTATAAAAGTACTCTAATTTTTTGAAAAGTAGTGATACACACTTAAACTGGTAAACCCCGATAACTAGAAAATCCCATTACCTGCCTATGCTGGATAATATAGTTTAGTAAAAACATTAAGACATTATGGGCAAAGCAAATATACAATAATCAGCAAATTCACTAAGTATATATAGGTGTGTGCAACTATTTCTAAAATCAATACTATAAACCAAATGTTTTTGCCTTGATTTTAGCTTTTACCAAATTAAAATAAATTTGCATTTGTAAACTGACTTAGTTTCTTAAGACATTATAAACCAACTAGGCTCATCAAATTTATATTCAAATATACTATCAACTCTATTCAAGGAAAAATCCCAGATTCTGTTAATTATGTGACTATTGAAATAGGACCATAAAATAAATGATTAGATTCATGGATATTCTATTTATATTTTAGTTCCAAATGCTATTTCATCAGGGCAGAAACTGAGCTTTCAATATAAGTAAACATATTTTAATTTCTAAAATGTAGACATTCACAAAAGAAAACAGAGTAATTATTACTTTCATTCCTCACAGATCTAATCTTGCCACAAGGATTTCTAAAAAATAAAAATCAACTTATAAAACCCAATAGTAACCTAATTATTCACAGCAAAATGATACATAAGTCAGATATAACTAAAGCCAACTAGTTCATTTACTTTCCTTTTTCAAAATAGTAGACAATATTACTTACGTTCAATTAATTTTTGAATGACCTCATGTCTCTGTTCTTGTTTACGATTATAACGCAGAAAAATGCATAGAGTTCGTGAGGCTGCCTTTTGGACAGGTAAGACATTCTTGAAGAAATAAGACAGACAGTTACACTAGGCTAATTCTAGTCTAGATAATTTGGCCCCACCAAATCAATTTTAAGTTATTGACTAAAATAAAGTGTTTGCTGCCTCTCAACTCATTGAATTTATATCCTTATGGAAGTATCTTCATAATTTAATGTTAATCACTCAGGCAAATCAACCAATACTTATATTACAAAGTTAATTTGGCATAGGCAAGTCCAAATCATCCAGATTTGACTCTTATTTCCTTGCCATCTCATCTTACATGACCAAATACACCCCTGCCACTTATTCTTTTAGCTGTTTTCTGGACTTTGTCATTCATTCATCTGACAAACATTTGCTACAACATGCCATGTGTTAGGTCCATCACCAAAAATATGTCACTACTAAAATATACATTTAGAGATCCCGTGATCAGGTATACGCTTCAATCCTTCTGGCTTAATTCTAGCTCTTAATGATACAGATGACATTTAGAATCCAAAGAGCACCATGTCAATCATTCTTACCAGTATTTCAAGTCCCTTTGTCCTTTCAATTTCTGTCACACCACCAGGCAGAACCTTAATTCTAAATAAATATGGCCATTTACCTTTCCTGGGTTTGGGTCAAACCATACATTAGAGAAAAATCTCTCAACCAGACATATTGTGTCCAGTATAAATTCATGTTCATTATCTTGACTTACATACAAATATAATGTTGAATTACTAAAGATCCCAAATATTACAGTGGGGATCCTTGAAATTCAAATAGAATGAAACTTTACATCGCTGAGACAGTGTTGCCTGCTACCTCCTCTCATATTTTATATGAGCTATTCACATTATATCAGGTGTAATTTGAGTGGGGTTTTTAATCTGTTGAATGTAAAAAGAGGGTATTTCCTATGATTTAGAAAAGAAAATTTTAAAAATATACATAAGCAGAAACATGACTGGACTTAAGGAAAATGAATTTTTGATAAATGAACTAAATAAAAGCATGTTATTCTTTTCTTTCATTTTATGCATACTGATAGAATTTCAAATACATATATAATAGTCATTAAAATATATATATTTTGTACCTCACATAAAACATATATTATAGTTTATGGTATGAGGTATTCTGCTGGGCCAGAAGTCAAAGATAAATATAATCAGGTCAAAAGCACATAAGAACCAGCTTGAAGAAGTTGTAACAATTTGTGCACAAAAAAATAATAACTGCAATAACATTATTTTATCTAAAAAGATGTTAAAAACAAAGTGCACTTGTCACCATTAAAAATAGCTACTATGCCACCTCTTAGCTCTGAAAACTGATAATTAAGAGGAAAAAAATTAAGAATTCATCCTGTCTTTACATTAGTAAATGTAGCTCAAGGCAATCAAATAACCAGTGTGGACAAAGGAATGCACTTCTTCACACAATGCCACCATCAAAAATGCATAAGAAATGATGGAATTTTAAAATTATTTAGGAAGTTATAATGAAATCACCGATTCAAGTAAGGATCATCAATGGATTCTAAAACTAACAGGTAAAAGGCTGATAGGAAACTGGTATTCAGAGGGCTGAAATACCAGCTGAAGATTGTGCTGGCTATTCAAGCATAATTTTAGAATAATTTTTTTTAATTCTATGAAAAATGACATTGGTAGTTTGATAGGAATGTGTTGAATCTGTAGATTGCTTTGGGCAATATGGCCATTTTAACAACATTAATTCTTCTAATCCATGAGCACGGAATGTTTTTCCATTTGTTTACGTCATCTATGATTTCTTTCAGCAGTGTTTTATAGTACCCCTTGTAAAGATCTTTCGTCTCCGTGATTAGATGTGTTACTGGATTTTTTTTGTGGCTATTATAATTGGGATTGCATTCTTGATTTGGCTCTCAGCTTGAACGTTATTGATGTATAGAAATGCTACTGATTTTTGTACATTGGTTTTGTAACCTGAAACTTTACTGTAGTGGTTTATCAGGTCTAGGAGCCTTCTGACAACATCCTTAGGGTTTTCTAGGTATAGTATCATATCAGCAAAGAGAGATCATTTGACTTCCTCTTTTCCTATTTGGATGCCTTTAATTTCTCTCTTTTGCCTGATTGCTCTGCCTATGACTTCCAGTACTATGTTTAATAGGAGTGGTATGAGTGGGCATCCTTGTCTTGTTCCATTTCTCAAGGGGATGGCTTCCAGCTTTTGCCCAATCAGTATGATGTTGGCGGTGGGTTTGTCATAGAGAGCTCTTATTACTTTGAGGTATGTTTCTTCAATGCTTAGTTTGTTGAGGGTTTTTAACACAGAGACACTTGACTTTATCAAAAGCCTTTTCTGCATCTATTGAGATGATCATATAATTTTTGCTTTTAATCCTGTTTATGTGGTGAATAACATTTATTGATTTGCTTACGTTGAACTAACCTCACATTGCAGGAATGAAGCCTACTTGATTGTGGTGAATTAACTTTTTGATGTGCTACTGGATTTGGTTTGCTAGTATTCTCTTGAGGATTTTTATGTTGATGTTCATCAGGAACACTGACTTGTAGTTTTCTTTTTTTGTTGTGTCTTTGCCAGATTTTGGTATCAGGGTGATGGCGGCTTTGTAGAATGAGTTAAACAGGAACCCTTCCTCCTCAATTTTTTTGAATAGTTTCAGTAGGATTGATTCCAGCTCAGAGCAGGTTGCGAGGTATGTCTGCTGGTAGTCTGGCCGTACAGTTTGTCAAGGGTGGAAGATCCCTGGGCAGGGCAGTGGTACAACTGGTATACAACCAGGTAGGCACATGCACCCCAGGGTTTTCAGCCCAGCAGATGAGTGTGGGGCCCACCCAGCTTGTACTCCCCCAACTCAGCATCTGCCCCAGAGGTAGGCCTGACCAGTTGGGCTTGTCCCAAGCCTTCTGTGCCCAGATAACAGAGCCATGGAATGTTTCTATATTTCAAAAAATTGCAATAGGATGTCATATTAAATGTAAGGTGAATTATGAGTTAAATAATCCCCTTGGAAATTTCTGTGAAAAAAGTAGACAACTTTGTGGGGAGGCTTGAGTGCCACCTTGTTTTGAGGGAGGAGTCTTTCTTTTTTCTTTTAACACTACTTATAAAGCTATCAATAGTAGGGCATCCATGTATTTGTATAAGCTTTCTCTGTTCCACTGCCACACTATAAAAGTAACCAAACTTATAGCAGGAAGCTTAAGGGGTGCCTTGGCAAAACAGCATACCTGGGGTCAGACATTAAGGGTGTGGATGTATCAGATGTGCAATCAGAACAGAAGGTCCTTTGCAGTCAAGGTCACTGAGTCCTGTCAACCTTCCTCTTAAGAAGAACTATTTCAAGTTTGAAGTGAGTCTGCCCTGTTCTTGGCAGTATATAATCAAAGGATAGGTGAAAGTGCCACCTAGTCATTCCTCTCTCCAGCTGGAGAGAAGATTCGCAGAGAGAGACCTAGTGGGGAAGGAAAGGGAAACCTGAGTCCCCTCCTCTGGACCTAGGAAGCTGACATCCTCCTAGGGAGAATGGAATGAACTGAGTTTGTTCCACTATTTTGAAAATATGAAGAGTTTTGATAATTCCAGACTCAACCATGAGTTCAAAAGAATAAGATGAAAGGTACTGAGCTCACATTTGTCATCATGATTGTGAACATTCTTTGTAAGAAACGGTAATAAATCTGATCACTTGATATGACATGTGGCAGGCAGGCATATTTCTGAAGTAGCTTCTCGTGAGTTCTCCATTTTAAAGAGGCTGCAGCTCGCTGTTCAGCGGCTGTGAGTGCTGGAATCAAGTCAGGAAGAGAAGATAACTGAAAAATGAAACGCATCAAAAAAACAAATCAATTATAAATAAATAAATAAATTGCAGCACTCAGTAAAATTACTCAGTTTTGTAACACATTGGGGAGGGGAATACTCCTTCTCATTTCAGAGTTTAGGAGATATCTTAGTTGTCACAAGGAGAAAATTATCTGACTAAATCAAACACTTTTAAAAGAAATCATTAAGTAAAACGTATGATTCCTGTGAACCAAATTTTGAAATAAAAACTGCAACTCATTCTTCTTCCTGTCAGATTATCATAGCAACTTTTCTAACTACAGTAAAATGTATTATATATTACTGTCAGCAAGCTTTGACCTCCTAAATTCCTACCCTTTTCTTAGGTTACACAGTGGCTTAAAATTAATAATAAAGAATAAATTTCTACCCTTTTGTCCTATTTGCTATTCTTGGAATAATCATTAATGCTAATGAAAAATGAAAATATGAACATAAACTCCAAAGACAATAAACAACGATCATGGTAATTTAAAATTATTAATGTAAGAAAGATAGAGGAAATTCAAGCTGTTCATACTCTAATAGGCTTTTACTGACTACCTGCTATGCGGCATGCACTATTTTACATGCTTTTCAAACATTCTTTCATTGATGCCTCACAACACCCTGTAGAGTAGGATAATATTTACACAGCTCAGAATGTTTCTGAAAGATGAAGTTTACCTTATTTTCTTGAACACTGCTTTCTCCACCAGTAGACATAAGTTCCAAGATTTCTGGAAGATGATCTATAAGAGCATCTAGTACCTTTTAACAGAGATATTTATTACTGTTATAGTGATTACTATGGTTTTTTTCTAGATTAGTTACTCTACATGTCAATTGCTATATAGTAATAGTGGGTTTTTTTTTTTTTCCCCAAACAACATTTTGGGTATTTGTATTTTCTTACTCTGCCATCTTCTTGCTGAAAAGTCTTAGAAACGTGATCAACTGCCTTGGCCAACCTTCGAAAAGAGATTAGTATACCTGCCTCTTGACATTGTTCAAATAGTCTAAATCTGAGACAGCTACTTCCACAAAACTAATATGTTCAGAAACTGCCTCCAAACTTTTGACAGGTATTTTAAATCGGATAATATTCTCAGTGATATCAAAATATTCATGAGTTGTGCTTTGGCAAACTAACATTTAGGTGAAAGGAATATCTAAATATAGCATCAAAATAAAGTATTTCAAAGTCTTTGTAAGTACATATTAAGTGGTGAAATACTACACAAACAGTGGCAAGAGAAAAAAGTTATAAAATGTGATATATGATTACAATTGAGTAAAATAAAAACCTTTATATAGAAAAGAACATTCATATAAAAAAAGAAAAAGAAAACAAATAGTAACAGTAATTGAAATTAAAGGCATTCTTTTGTCTGTTTTTTGGCACTTCCTAAATTTTTCTTAATAAATAAATATGCATATACTAAGTTTTAAAACTGAATATATTTTAAAACCTAATTTTTTAAACTATTTTCCCAATATCCAGTTTATGATACAGTGGTACAACAATTTGAAGCTTCTGGAGCTAGTCAGCTGAAAGAGTTCACACAATTTCAAGAAGTAGGGGAGAAAAGGCATTGGTGTATTTGGACCAAACATAAAAGAATTAAACATCAAAGAGTAAGAAAATATTACCTCCAGTGATTCATCTTGTAATAATGTTATTAGTTCTTTATGTATTAAATATACTCCAGAATTCAGAAGCTTAGACACCTAAAATATAGCAATAAAGTCTCTCAGATTTAAGACTACTAGACAGATACAGGTTACAACAATTTTTAAAAATACATCCTTGTTATATATTTCTTCTAAAAGCCATGTTATAACGCAAATATAAAATTAGATTCTATAAAAATTAGTGGCACAAATAACCAGCTTTCTAGTCTGCCTCATGGAATGCTGGAGTGTGTGGACACACACAGGGGTGAGGAAATACAAAAGAATGGGATTTACCAGAGTCATAACTTTCACATCAACAGCAATAACAAGCCCACAGGGGCCTCTAGTTCACATTTTAAAGTCTTAGAGCAGCCAACAGGGTCTTAAAGGATATCCTGGGCATGCAAGTATTCATATGAGTTCGGAACTTCCCAGAGGGTAACTTCTACTGAAGGCCTACAGTGATACCGGGGTAGTTATAACTTCTAAGAAAGCAAACCAACTTTCCTTTTCCCCATCAAAGACTTTAATCAGCATGAGAGGAGTTGGGAGAGTCTCGAATAACAGTTCCCCTTGTAAACAGCAGTTTTTTTGTCTCCTCCAGATAAACTCGGAGCCCACAATAGTGGATTTACCAGTTTCTACTTCATCTTATTCTTTTTAAAACACACTGGGCTTGACTAAAGTTTTATTTGGAAAAAAAAAAAATGGTCCCTGGATAAAGAAAGTGTTTTAAAATTCTTTCCTCTAACACAGTTGTTTTTGACTTGTCGAAAATATTTCCAAAATATTATTATTATGAAAAATAAGAACAAAGAATACAGTAAAGCAATTATCAGAAGCTAGCATTAACACTGTTAGAAAAAGTTAAATCCGCCAGTGGATTTTCATTACTTAAAAAAAAAAAAACAAAAAAACTTACACAAGCCCTTCATTTTATGGAGAGGCACATCATTTTTACCCTACCTACATGGTATGATTGTGGAAGAATATGAAAACTAGCCACCCAGCAAATATAGATCAATGATTATCAAACTCACTTCCACCAGTGAAAGCATATTTGTATACACATGTACATTTCCATATGTTTAATTATATGGTGCTATGTTATGTCCACTATAAAACATAAATAAAATTATATATTAAAGTGATGAGAAAAAACAGAAAGTCTAAAATTGCATAAATACTGCATTCTCAGACTCCAATCCTGAACAACTGTCTCTGGAGACCACTGATCTAACAAGTACATGTGGACATGGTAACCAAGCCTAAATGACCATTTAATGCATGTTGGAGGTGAATATTCTGCTCAGCTGGTCAGTGCTCTCTGCCCTATCCCCACTCCTCCTAAAAAGCAGAGTTCTACAGGTGTGTTTTACAAAGATGATATAATTTTGCAGCACTGAAATTATTTTAACTAATTATACTTTAATTTAAAGGGAAGGTGTCCAGGATTTTGTATAATGCATATATATTTCATTCATACCAGAAAAAGTGTTCTTTTAAAAAAGTAAAACTATCACCCAATAGCCAAAAAAGAATCTAAGCAACATTTATAATGATACTATGGATGGATATCCTGCACACTTGTAGAAAATCAAAGTGCTCTGACACAGGAACGCAGTGCAAGGAAGGGGGTGAAATATTCTCACTGAGAATAAGAACTTATACCACTTATCCAGAGGTTTTCTTTTTTTTTTTTTGAGACGGAGTCTCGCTGTGTCTCCCAGACTGGAGTGCAGTGGGGTGACCTCGGCTCACTGCAAGCTCCACCTCCCGGTTCACGCCATTCTCCTGCCTCAGCCTCCCGAGTAGCTGGGACTACAGATGCCTGCCACCACGCCCAGCTAATTTTTTGTATTTTTTGTAGAGACAGGGTTTCACCATGTTAGCCAGGATGGTCTTTTTTTTTTTTTTTTTTTTAATTTATTTATTATTATTATACTTTAAGTTGTAGGGTACATGTGCATAACGTGCAGGTTTGTTACATATGTATACTTGTGCCATGTTGGTGTGCTGCACTCATCAACTCGTCATTTACATCAGGTATAACTCCCAATGCAATCCCTTCCCCCTCCCCCCTCCCCATGATAGGCCCCGGTGTGTGATGTTCCCCTTCCTGAGTCCAAGTGATCTCATTGTTCAGTTCCCACCTATGAGTGAGAACATGCGGTGTTTGGTTTTCTGTTCTTGTGATAGTTTGCTAAGAATGATGGTTTCCAGCTGCATCCATGTCCCTACAAAGGACACAAACTCAGCCAGGATGGTCTTGATCTCCTGACCTCCTGATCCACCCACCTTGGCCTCCTAAAGTGCTGGGATTACAGGCGTGAGCCACCACGCCCGGCCTATCCAGAGGTTTTTATGTGTCAGTTTTGAGCTTGAAAGTTATAGCTTATCCGTATTTATTGCAACCACGGCATACATGCACTTCTTGCTGTCATTCAAGAAAGATGCCCCAAATTTCAACTTCAAGGGTTAAAAAGTTAAATTCATCATAAAAGTTTCAACTTACTTTTGCTCGTACTTTATAGAGAGTCATAATAGCAGAATCTAAAAGCCATGCTCATGAAACACCATCCATTTGTAGTAAAAATAATTAATGAGTTTCAATTTTCTATTGGTTCTCAAGTGCTTAAGTTTAGGTGCAAAGTTAACTGTAAATATTATAAAGCATATAAAAACTGATTTTACCTTAAAATCTGCATCACCCATATCTACCACAATGTCTGGTTTAAAGTAAACACTTGGTATAGATATGCTGAATGAATGGGTTAATAAAAGAATTCACAAATATCATGTATTTATGGAAATGGATTCTGTAAACATACTAAAAAAGAAGAAAATTATGGAAGTTTTTAAACAAGATTTAAGACTAGAACATGAAAGAGATATCCAGTCTATATCTTATAATCTACAAGCACAAAATCATCTAGTATACATAGGTAGAATTAACAACAAATGTAAAGTGATACTAAGTCTTCAGACTTACTTCATAAAAGCAAATAGCAATAGTGTATCTGACTGGTACTTCAGGGTCATGGCAAAGGCAGAAGAATGTAGAATAGAGTTCCATGTGGAAGTTTTTAGGATCAACAAAAACAATCATGGCCTGGTGGAGGTGGAAGGGAGGAGATGAGTGGGAAGGAAAGAAAAACATGCATCAATACCTAATATTATAATCGTCTCACTTAAATTGAAATCATGTTCTCTGAATTGTAATTTAATTAGAAATCATATTTGGAAGATCCAAATATGTGTATATCAGTCTGATTTATACACAGATACATAAATTTCTCAAATATTTACTCTGTATGTACTATGTACACTAGACATAATGCTAAGCAGTAAGTGTCAAAAATGGCAATATTTTGAATGCCATCTATGCACCTATTTTAAAGTTATAATAAAAATCCTCAGTAAATATAAATACATATTTATTACCGGAAAGTTATAAGCACAGTTCTTCCGTACTGAAATATATTTCTTCTCCTGCTCTAAGATTTGGGGTGGAATCTGGTTTTCATTGTGTCCATTTTCTTGTTGCAAACCCAATGTACAAAGTTTCTTATAAAATTCCAAAAATCTCAAGTGCTGATCTGGAGTGAAAATTCCTAAAACAAATATAAAAACCTATGCTCAACATTTCAATCGAAAATAAAATTTAAAAAGGGAAAATCAAAGTACAAGAAAAATATAATTGAAGCCAAATACTTAAATAAATGGTTGCAGATAGTTTACAAATAAAAGGAACATGAAAAGAGTAACTGTTAAGAATCTAACAGATCACATTATTTTACCTCATGTTAATTCCAGTAATATTTTAATTTCAAAAGTATAACTTACATAATGCAGGAAATATGCCTGCATTAATTGCTGCAGCATGTATCATATTGTAGGCCACTAAAAAGTCGCTAATAATAACATTGTGGCTATTTATACATCTGCTATTTTCTTATAGTAAATGTTCTAAAATTGCTGGCAGAAAAGACACATGCATGTGTGTATGTGTCTCTGCAGGGAAGGAGCTTAAAAACGGAATCTGAAAGACAGCAAAGTAAATTCAAAACATTTTTAATCAATGGAATGGTTCCACATTCATCAAGTATCTCGAGGAGCTAGAAACTCATAATATATTGTTATGAGTTCATTATTAAACAGTCAATCTCACACTGATATAGTAAGCTAAGAACTATGTGTTCAAAATGCCAAGAGTTACGGTATTATTATTCCACATCCCAAGCTGAACTTCTCTAATAATATAATAAATTATTCAATAAACGGTTAATAAGTGTATACTTACTACATACAAATAGTAAATAAGCCTGAGCTTCTATTATTACATACCAAATAATATATAAGTATAAAATATTCAGAGATTTAAAGAGCTATGTTTACTTTATTCTGTCACTGTTCTTTCAAACAGGTTCTACTGGTGAAAAAGTCATTCCTAAATGTGCTCTAAATGATGTTATCAAAATTCTAAGATCTCATAAGATTCTTATATACTTAAGAGCTAGGCTTTACAATTAACTGAAGAGCCAAAGTTTAGTGACTAAGGTAGAAAAAAAGGGAAAACAGTCTCAAATTCTTAGGATATATCATACCATATAGTCCATGACATAGTTTTCCTAAATGGAAAGATAAAGAAATAAGAATTGATTCATCTGCTTTGAAAGATTTTTCACAAAATGATTTCACTAAGGGAAGTATAGTTTGACTTCTGTCATCTGGAAAACAAAACAAAATAATACATACTTTAAATTCAGTCATCCACACTGCACATGTGGAAACTAATACACACAAATTCCAGAAAGAAAAATTACTACATTAGCCTCATAGTAATAGAAAATACCTGAAAGCAATGATGATGGAGGTGGGTGGTGAAAAAGGGCTAAGAGGAGGCTTGAAATGATCAAAAACTTTAATGTCAGGTTAAGGGGTTTGGACTTCAGATTGCAGGCCATTGGGAACAGAATATAAAGAGTGATTATGAATTAAAAAGCTAAGATGATTGAGGATTTGAGTCTGAATAACTAAAAGAATTCTAATACCATTAACATAAATAAATAGTAAGCAAAGGAAACTTTTCTTATTCTCTTTTACACACATCTCATACCATGCTGCAGCTTAAGCCCATTTTACCATTTCATTTTTTACTAAAATTATATTAGCTTATAATATGTTCTATGTATTGTATTTCATCACTTTTACTTCTTAGATGGCTCTTCTTTAAAAAATTAATCGATTCTTTGAGTACATCTGCTTAGGTCACAAGTATCTGACATAGTGGGGATATTTAACTCTCAATTCTAAATGCTCTCCAAATTTCTCACAGTTTTCTTAAATTTCAGAAATGAATCACTTCTTTATTATCTGGAAATGTTAAGTAAAATGCTGTAACAGGCTTATGAGTATTATTATTACTATTATCATTACATTTCGGCGTTATATCTACTATTTTTGTTAAATGACATTCATTCAACACACTGTGTTTCTTACAGAACAAGCCTTGTAACTAAGTAGAAATAGAAATATGAATAATAAATAGTCTCTTATTTTGAGAAATGCAAACCAGCAAAAAAGCCAAACACAAACAATGTAAGACAATGTGATCACTGCCTTAACAGCTGGTATAAGGCAGGGATCTATAAACTTTTTTTGTAAATATTCTAGGCTTCGCAGGCTGTGTCCCAACTACTCGGCTCTGTTCTTGTATCACAAAAACAGCCACAGACAATACGTGAACAAATAAGTGTGGCTCTGTTCCAATAAACTTCATTCACAAAAATAGGGGGTGGGCCAGATTTGGTCTAAGGGCTATAGTTTGCCAACGCCTGGTGTCAGGGATTTAGAAAGATGTCAGGGAGGAAACTGTATTTAAACTGGGAACTAAAGAAGCAGAAGGAGTTGGCTAGGAGAAAAATAGAGGGAAGGAACAATAGAGAAAGAAAAAATATGAGAAAAGACTAGAGGTGTGAAAGAAGGTATGCTAAGCAAGTGGGACTGGAGCATCAGACACAAGAGGAGTGGGAAAGAATGGTAGGAAATAAAGCCACAAACACAGTTAGACCCAGCTCTGTGATAAATGGGTGTGGGCAGTAAAAGGGAAAAGATCAAAGATGATGGCAAGGTTCTAGTTTGGAGCCTGGGGATGCCCCATTATTAGAGGAAAAAAGATTTATTCATTCACTTATCATGTATTGAGGTTTTATTCCTCTGGTTTGTCATATTGTCTAAATAACTGTTCTGGAAAATCCAAACACAATTATTGTCCATATTGCAATAATCTTTAAGAGTCTTCCTGGAGTTCAGATAAAATGTTGGTAATCCAACTAAATGTAATACTATAATTACACAATTGAATTCTGTACTTAAGTACTTGACATTTACCCCTCCAAATTTCACTTTATCAAAATAGTTAATGTTTACTGATAACTAATGTCCAGCATTAGTCAAGAGTCTAGTCATACATTCAGTAGAGCAGTTAACTGTCTCTGACATGATTTACATAACACTAAGGAATATCTCTTTACCCTCTCCCACTCAAATATCCCATCCCAAATTTCTCCCCCAATGGCCATGAGATTTCTAGCATTAAAATATTACTAAAGAGAGGAAACTCATGTAGACAATGTCTCAGGATCTGTCTTAATGTCATTAGGTGAAAAAGTTAAAGTCAAATTCTTAGCCCTATATACACACAAGTCAGTTAAGTTTTGATGGGAGAAAAGAGAGATGGAATATGTAGCAGCAACACTGTATGCCATGTGGTATTGGTTTTAATATGGTTTGTTCCCATCAAAATGCCTGTCAAGGCTTGGCCCCAGTGCAGCAATAGTGGATGGTGAAATCTTTAAGAGGTGGGGTCGCATGGGTCCACCCACTGGCTCCACTCTCATGGGTTGACTGGTGAAGTTCCTGTGGTATTAAGTGAGGTCTCCTTCACAAGGGACTGCGTTAGCTCTCATGGGACTGGGTTAGTTCTCTGGAGAGCAGGTTGTTACAAAGTCAGTTTCTTTTGTTCCCTCTCCCTTTTGCAGGTCTGCTTCCCCTTCCACTTGTCTGCCACATTATGAGGCAGCATGAGGCTCTCATCAGAAACAGGTCAGATGGGACTGCCTAATCTGGAACTTCCCAGCCTCTAGAAATATGAGCCAAAATAAATTCCTTCATAAATTACCTGGTCTCAGGTATTCTGTTATAGCAACACAAAATGGACTACGACACCATGAGGTAAAAGTGAAAGCCAAGAAGACACCAAAACAGAATGAATCATAAAAAGAGGGAGAGGAAGGGAGGCTTAACATAAGAAATTCTATATCTACTTTTATTCCTGATTAGTGACATAAAACATGTAGAAAAACACTATTTTCAGAAGCAAAGATGTATCCACATGATTTACCTGTATCAAATATGTCAAGCAGATTAACCAAAGTTTCAAAAGCTGCAAGTCGTACACTGCTGCCTTCATCCCTAGAAAGTTCTATTAATTCAGGGAGCACCACGCTTTTTGTAAGTTCTGTCCTGCACAGTAAGCAATAGAAGAAAACAAATCAAATCAATAAATGTGTAGCAAGAACTTACTAAAAACCAGTGACTGGGCTAGTTGCTGCAGAAAATATGAAAAGTCATAAAGATACTGTTTCTGCTCTCCAGAAGCTTTCAGTCTTATGGGGAAAGGATATCATACATATAAGAAACATTAATAGTAATTTCATAATGATTTAAATCAATCCCACTTCCCCCAGCATAATATTGTTACCTACAGAAATCTTAATAACTAAGAGTTTATATTAAACTTTATAAATTATAATATAGTTTTCCATTTTAAGCAACTTCAGCAAATATCTGGACTAATTAGAAAAACTTATCAGTAGTAACTGCAGAAACCTAAATAATGTATTTTTATCTAGATTTCAGGGTATAAATTATTTTTCCATTCACCTAATACATGACATTATGGTAACTAATTTCTATACAGAAGATGATATATTACTCTAGGTGTCCTATCTAGAAGAATGAAATATAATATAAATGCTTTTAGGGAGTATATAATATTTATAAGACAGTCACAAATAGTTCTTATTCAACACTTTGTGTCTGCTTATTCCTCATGATAAGGTGTCATTGTAATGATAAACACTTTGATAAAGGAGAGGTTTATTATGTGGGTAGCTTTCTTGGGTACAAGATGGAAAATGGCATCAATTATAATTGAAATAAGATGTTGATAGAGTCCAAGAAAGTTATTAAGAGCTGTAGAAAACTTTAAAAAATTCAGGGCAAATTTCAACGACTCTAAGACAATGCTGTCAAGTAGAACTTTCTCCAATGATGGAAATGTTAATCATTTGTGTTCTTCAATAGGGTAGCCACATGTGGCTATTGAGCATTTTTTAAAATAAGTTCATTATGAATGAGGAACTAAAGCTTTAATTTTCTTTAATTTTCCTTATTTTAAACTAAAATTGCCACATGTGACTAGGGGCTACCATATTAGACAGCATAGCACAAAGACAAGGACTCAAGCAATTGAAGTGCCAAAAAAAAAAAAAAAAAAAGTTTCCAAGGGATTGATCTCGGTCATACAGATACAGATATTAACATTACCAGTAGTTCATAAACATTAGGCAAATACAGGATGTAGACAGAGGAGGTAAAAGAGTAAAATGTGACAGAACATATCCAAAAGTCATAAAAATTTATTTCATATAAATTTTGCTCAGAATATATTTGTATACCTACTGAAATCCTTGAATTTATTAACAATGGAAGAAAATAGTTTAAGAAAAATAATTTCATCTCTATAGTAAAAGTTATTTTCATTCAATCTTTAAACAGAGTTTTTTTTAAAAACGTTAGAGTGATGCAAATTCAACTTAATTATCTCTGGTCATTAAAAATGAAAATAATCATAACAAATAACTCTTTCATTAATTGTGTTAAACTTCCAACACAACACTTAGGAAATATTATTTAGTAAGAGTGGACACAGGACAGAGTACACTACCATACCCTGTGTGACATTCTACTATACCCTGTGTGACATTCAAAAGCCTTTTCAGAGCCTTAAATATTGGCCCAGATATTTTAAAAAATTAACAAAGGTACAAATGACCACAATCTGATTGCCCTAGCTTGTGAAACAAAGAACCAGATGAAATCAGAGCAACTTCTGCTAAAAATGAGAGGTTCCAATGATTTTTGCACCAATTTTGAATCTTGTTTTTAAAAGAAAAGCTTTCCCAAGATGGTTTTGAGGGAAGACTCCCTTTAATATCATACTTCTAAGACTGAAATGATATCAGTTCTTATGGATGAGGAGACTGGCTGCTATGTCCCTCCTGGAGCTTCAGGCACCCATAAAACAAGGAGAGTAACAAAGCAAATATTGGAAGCCTGAAGTTGCACAGAAGTTATAGAAAGTCTTCCATTAGAGTGTAGTCAGCCCTCAACATCTGCAGGTTCTGCATCTGTGAATTTAACCAACCATGAATAGAAAACATTAATAAAAAAAATTTCTTCTTTACTGAACATGTACAGACTTTTTTCTTGTCATTATTTTCTGAACAATACAGCATAACTATTTACATAGCATTTATATTATATTAGGTATTATTAGCATCTAGAGATTATTTTAAACATGTGGAAGGATATAAGCAAGCCGTATGGAAATACTACACTCTTTTATATCAGAGACTTGAGCATCCTCAGATTTTGGTATCCAAAAGAGGTCCTGGAACCAAGTCCCCAAGGACATGGAGGGACAACTGCAATCCCACCTGAAATGACCCAATAATATAGTCAAAGAATAGCCAGTCAAACATATTCCAAGTATGGTTTATATTGGGATATCTTTCATTTCCTGAATCTAGGTGTCTGGAATAATAACTAAGCAACTAAGGAGAATAAAAGAAATTAACATTAATCAAATACCTACCACCATGCTAAGCACATTCCTCTTTATCTCTTTTAATCCAGACATAGAGGAGGTACTTGTTATGATCATTTTTAAAGATCAAATATAGCCTTTCGATGGCATGCTTTCATGGAAATGGCATAAGGAATTCAAAGTATACCTACCCAATGCCCTGAGCTATATTTTCTAATTGCCGACACATACAAGATCGAACTTCATATTCTACATCCTGACAGAGTGATTTTACCAGAGGAAGTATTTCTCGCTTAATGCTGAAGTTGGGGAGAAAAGAAACATGCAAATGAATGAGTGTTTCAGAATAATATTCCCAAACAATTATCAATAAAATCTTAACTCACCTTAATAATAACAAATGTACTTTAATAGAAAAAATAATACTTTACAATGTATTTTACATATGTTATTAAATTTAGATGTTATTAGCTACTTATTAAATTTGGATGTTATTAGCTACTTGTAAATTATTTATACCACAGTCTTTTAAAAATAATGGTTAATCTTGGATTGGCAGTTGAAATGTCTATAGCTAGGATAAAAGGCTGTAGCAGTGGAATATCTGAGTCTAGCAACCATCAACCAAAATATTCTTCAGCTTTACTCTTGTATCACAGTTACACAACATTCCATTCTTTTCATCTGGTATTTAATAAGTAGGCAAGAAGTAGCACATGAATTATACATATGCTCCATAAAACCTCAAAGTAAGTTAGATTATTCAAAATAACAAATTCACAACAACAGTGTATAAAAGCAGAAATTCTATCTTTATGCTGTTTGCCCATTTTGAAAGTCAATAAGGTAATGCCATTTTATCCTCAAAACTACATTTGGTATGAGATAGGGAAGATTAAGATAGGAAGTAGGAAAATAGTTTAGCTTATCAATTCTGAAAAGTTATGAGATTGAAAAGAAAGGCATCTGAATAAGTAAATTCTGTCATGAGAATTCTATAAAGTTAAAATAGTTAAGATAACTAAATTTGTATGCAGTATGAAATAATACAAATATATTGTTATACAGTCATTATACATTTTAAATCAATGTAATAAAGTAGACCAAAAATTACACACAAATACTCACGTGTGGGCATCAAATTTGTTGGTCAATTTTCCTAAAATTTTACAACTAACTAAACGAGACTGGACTGTTTGGGAAAGTTGTGCCTTGGAAACAAGTGGATTCAAAATCTAAAGAGAAAATTCAGAGAAAAAAATTCACAAAATTTTATACATTCATGCCACTCATGTCAGCTATTTCCTTCAGAGTATTTTAATGTTCTAAATATTTTTAAAGAATCTGAATTACAGTTTGAGGTTCATGACTCAATAACTTGGATTATTTTGTCTTCTGAGTTATTAAGGTAAAGATAATTACAAATTATGCAATTAAAACAATTAGAAAAAAACTGAAGTAAAGTTAACGGTGATTTTACAACGCTCTGTATGCACAGATAAAAGCAGAATTTTGAAATATATATTTTTTTTTTTTTTTTTTTTTTTTTTTTTTTTTTTAAAATGAATATAGTCATTTAAATGCTAATTTGCTAAGATACTAAGCATGTATTTTTATTTCTATAGACTTTTTAATTATTTATCGACTTAATGGAAAAAGCAAAAATAAAAAAAAAAAAAAAATAAATACTTTGAAATGTATTTTTATTTCATATAGATTTTTATATTTATCCTAATGGGATGAAAAACATTATAGCTTCAAATAAATCCTATTAAATAATTATGTCATTTGAATACAATAAGCCAAGTCTGATATTGCATTATGTATACATTGGGCACTCAAATACTACAACAGCCTGACAGACTATAAAAAACTATGAAGATCAGACCCTGATTCCAGTCCCAGTTCTTTAGTTTGTCCAAATACTCTCGCTATTTCTCTATTTTTTTTTTTTTCTTTTTGAGACGGAGTCTCACTCTGTCGCCCAGGCTGGAGTGCAGTGGCCCGATCTGGGATCACTGCAAGCTCCGCCTCCCGGGTTCCACGCCATTCTCCTGCCTCAGCCTCCCGAGTAGCTGAGGCTACAGGTGCCTGCCACCACACCCAGCTAATTTTTTTTTTTTTTCTTACTAGAGACGGGGTTTCACCGTGTTAGCCAGGATGGTCTCGATCTCCTGACCTTGTGATCCACCCGACTCGGCCTCCCACAGTGCTGGGATTACAGGCGTGAGCCACCGTGCCCGGCCATAATCTCGCTATTTCTAATCTCCAGTTTCTCATCTATTTAAAATGGAAATTAGAATATGTCCCACTAAGATCTCTTTAATTTCTAAAATTCTATGACTCTTATAGTCAACTGGCTTGTTTCCTCTCAAAGTAGCTGGAATTACTGAATATGCATTAATAATTTAGAAGTGAAAAGTTTAGAATTACATATCTAAAATCTTTGAAACCACATGTTAAATAATATGGTATTCTAGAGTAAAAATTGCATTATACAGCATATGGCTTTTCAAAAAATATAAAAATCACATGTCTACATTATGTTCAACATTTAAATATGCATAATCATCTAGATGTTTGGCATCAGATAGTATGCAAACATCCTTATAACTAGAAAATCTTCCCATTTTCAAGCCAATATTTAAGCATTGTGATATGACCATAAACTATGAAGACAAAGAAAGGACAAAGATACTTAATGAAGTCAGTAGAGGACATTTCATTGGCTGATGACTCTTTTTTTCAATCATGACATATTTGGAAAGAAATACATATAGAAATAATGTTCAAAGAATACAAAATCTTTTCATTAGTGGATACATTTCCTTTCCATTTTCTTCTTCTTCTCTCATTGTAATTTATTTAAAACCTTTAGGGAAGAGTATGCTGTTCAATGTTGAAAATTAATAGGCAAACAACATGTTGGGAATAATATTTGTAAGTATAACAAAGAATTGGCAACCATAATAGGTAAATAGCACATATAAATAGTGATTAAAGGATAGGATCAAACAATTGCAAAGGAATACAGAGAAACTGATATAAATATGAGAAAATATTCAACAGCACAATAATTTTATAATTCCAATTAAAATGTAATTCCATTTTTAGCCCATTAAATAGAAACACTATTGCTGATAAAAGTCCAGGAAAAGAGCATCTTCACATATTGTTAGTAGAAAGTTTAAGAATATTAATGCCCTCTGATCCATTAATTTCTTTTTGAAAGCTACAATTAAATAAATTATCTGAAAAACAGGAAGAGCTCTACAGAAATGTTCATTAATGTCCTATTCAATAGTAAAATATAAGCCTGAAAACAGGCTTAAATGTTTAACAAGTAAAATATTCTGCAGCTACTACCAAATGAGTTTAAAATAATATAGGAAAGTAATGCTAAATGAAAAACAACCATATATAAATTCAGTATGATCACTGATATGGCAAGCAGCAACCATATATAGGAAAAAAATTTGAAAGGAAATACATCAGGACCTTAAAAGTGGACAAGTACAGAACTACAAATTCTTTTTTCTTCCTTCTATATTTTATATTCCTCAAATTTTCTACAATGTGCACGTGTTACATTCAAAACGAAAAACAACTTTCTTTTTTAAAAACCATTTTTGACAATAAACCTTTTAAAAAAAAAAAAACCTTAGAGTGACTTACTCATTAGTATTTACCCCATGAAAGTATTACCTCATGCCGTAGGGTTTCTTTTGGCAATACTTCTATAACAGACAGAAGAGTTTCCAGCCATGCATTGCTGACACCTGGTTGACACAGATAAAACATACTAAATTAAAAGTCTCACTTCAAATTCAGTTTCAACTCATCCATTAATAGTTACAATAGCACTTAATGATAAAATGGAAATAATTATTTTCATTACTATTCTAAAAAGTTTCTCTATTATTTTGTCTCAGTCAACATCTAGAAAATTTTTATATTTTTAAAAAAATAGTATTGGTAAGATATCTTTAAAGCAAGGTTTGCTGTTTTATTGTACAAACTATAAACATAACTGCTAGAAAAGGAAAAAAACTAAGAAGAAAGTATAAATCATAAGATGAATTAATGGGTCTTCAGTTTCCAAGGATATTAAATTTTGTGGGTTTTATAAGAAGACAGCCATAGCTATTTTAAGTCATTCCACTGCTCAACTCCTAGGCAGCATGGCCTTACTCAGTTATCCTCATCAGGCTAACAGTATTTATATAATATCATGGTCATATACAAAAAACAATAAACAAGTCTATAATTAAGCATGCCGGCCCCTGACCTGTGTCCCTGTGCTCCAGATGCAGGAGAATGACTTGGAGGAATGAGTGGGTATATGAATGAATTGACACTGATTCGTCCTGCAGAATGGTCAGAAATGACACCGCAGCCGTTAACTGCATTTCCACTCCTGCAACATGTAGGGCTTCCTGTATAATCAGAAACAGTTTTCTATTTACATAGATGAGAGATCACAAATTGTAATTTTTAAAAATCCAAGGTTATAGAAACTAAATAGTCATATTCCACAAAATTAGATATATGACCTTTAAGGATATGTACTTATTACTTTATTGAAGAGAACTATATTAATCTGCTCCTGATCATTTAACTTATTAGACTACACAAAATTTAAGTGTCTTAGGATTTTATAAGATAAAGTAACTTTCTATCACTTTATTGAATAAAAAATATAAACAGTACATAAACCTTTAAGCAACAGAGTAGAAACTTTTGATAGATTTTAATTTCTGTTTTCCTGTTTGGATTGTGACAGTTTGTCATCCTGCCTAGAATAATGTCAAAGCTCAGACAATCACATGTGTTTCCATTATTTGTATTTGTGTTTCAAAAAATAAACATCATACATTCTACTATTAAAAATACACTTGAGTATGCAAATATATTTCCCCTTTAAACAACTGAAGAGAACATAAATTACCATGAAGTAAACTGTTTTCAAAAGAAATTTTCTTAAGAATATGCTTTAAAAATTAATTATATTCATAGCCATCTCCATTTACCATTTAAAGAATTTTAAAATGTATATCCAAAATTAAAACCTACATTATAGTATGTTTTCAACACACCAAAAGGTCAAAAAAAGTATCTTTCTACATAAGCCTCAAAGATATTATCTATACCTCTCTATGAGAGAGAGACAGCGTGCGTGTGTGTGTGTGTGTGTGTGTGTGTGTGTGTGTAATGTAAAGGCAACTAGAAGTATTACTTGTTTAATCAATTATGGCAATAATGAAAATTTCATTTTATGCCTATTTTATAATATAATAAAGTCAGTAGAACCTGGAACTTAGTCATAAAACAAAGTTTCATATCAGTGATCTTAGGAATATTAATCCTTCTGCATTATTTCCTAATCGATAAAATGTGAATTATAGCAACATCTTCACGGAGATTTAAATCATTTAAATAGAACTTTTATGATTTATCAACTTGTGCAAAATGAACATTTAAATAATTACCATTTTATATCCACTGTCTTCTGTCTACATTACCCTTGAATATCTAGTTGGAATCTCATTTGCTCACACGTTTACTGATCTCTCCCTAAAACCTGCTCCTCCTGTAATCTTCCTCATCCTGATAAATAGTAAATGATATCTCTGCCCTTCCAGCTGCTCAGCCCAAAAACTACGGGGTCATCCTTAACTCCTCTCAATCCCTCACTCCCCACAGTCAAAAGGCCAATAAATCCTGAAGGGTCTACCTTCAAAACAGATCCAGAAACTGAACACTAGTCACCTCTCCTGTTGCCACCCTAGTCCAAGTCACCATCTTCTCCAGCCTCAATTACTCAAAAAACCTTTAATCAGTCCCTGATTCCATCACTGTCCCTCTATTATCCATTCTCTACACTGTAGCCTAAGGAATTATTTTAAGAAATCAGTCAAATAATGTCACTTTTCTGCTCAAAACTCTCCAATGGGCTTCCATCTCACTCAAAGGAAAGGTCAAAGTCCTTTTAACAACTTACAGTATGTGTTCTCAGTTCCCCTTTTCCTGGATTTCCATATAGCTGGCTCCCCTACCTCTTTCAAGCCTCTACTCAAATACCACCTTTTCAATGAGGCCTTCCCTGATGACCCTACTTCGAGTTGAGTTCATCTCCTTACCCCACTACCCGCCTTTACCAGTTATTCATTACTATCATCCAATAGACAATATGTTTATTTGTTTATGGCCTATCTTTCACAACTGGACCACAAGCTTCATGTATCCCCATCTCCTAGCACACAGCAGGCATTCAGTAAGCAGCTGCTGGGTGACTGACTATCTCTTACCCTCTCACCTACTCTTTCTGCTCTTGATGCTCTCTCCCTACACACACATTTTACACATCTTCTAAAAAGTGGCTTCAAGAGATTTTGAGGTGAGTCCTAAAGATTAGGAACTGGCAGAATTAGACAGAAGGCAAAGCAAAAATGGATCACATAGAAATGTATTCTCAATCCTCTTTCTATCATGTCCACACTGCTGTCTTCCACCCTAACATCTCCATAACCATGATTTGGACCTATATACCCAGTCTTCTTGATTTAGCACAGTGGGACACTGCCAGTCATCACAATAGGAGATAACACAGGGATATCTACAGCAGAAGAAACAAAATAGTAAAGCACTTTGATAAAGGCCAGCGAGCTAATAACTGGCAACTCTAACAAACAATTGTCTACCAGATGCCAAAAACACTCCTAAGCACTGAATTCTTACTCACGGACTCTGCACTTCTATTCATCATTTATTAAGGCATGACTTAAAACAATGCTAAGCCTTCATGTCATGGTGTGGAAGATCTGGCAGTGGCATTTCCTGTGGCAAATATCTATGTGCTATGGTTAATTGCCAGAAAACCTACCACATATTAGAGTGGCTGTTTTTGTTTTATTCTAAACTTTTGTATCACACACAAAAACATTATTTTACATGTTTTTTCAACCAAAAGCCAATTACATATCATAAGAGTTCTTGGCTGAGAGAAAGAGGGTAAGAATGTTAGAGTATAAAGCAGAAGCAGCAATTGGTCTCTGAAATCAATCCTCCCATACCCCTTTGTTTTAGTGTTCCCAAAAGAAACATTTGTTCCACACTAACAATTTTGGGTTTGGAAAACACTTTTAAAAGATTTGATGTGGCCAGTATACATCACTTACAGGTTTCAGAAGGCACAGCTTTTATTTAGAAACAGAAAGGACTTTGCAAAGAAATATTAAAATCAATTGTGAGGGCCACAATGTACATTCCAGTTCACATGAGTCTGTTAAATTCCAAGAGATGCAATTCTGCCCCCTCTTAAAGTCATTAAAGTCCTGGGTTTTGTACGTATGCAAACTTTATACAAAAGAAGAACATGAGAAGCTCTCCAACTTCATATCTTCTTACTGTATTACTTAGTCTTGACTCCCGCAGCAACATTTGCCCCAACTATTTTGCATTTAATTTTCGAAAAATCCTCAAGTCTTATCAGGATTTGGGTTTTTCTCTTGTTGTGCTGACTTCAACATCTGGGACTGTCCACTGTTAAGAAACCAGCACAGACTAAGAGATTTCATCACTGCTAAAAATCAACTGATTTTCTAAACATATTTTTCTGAAACATAATACAATAAGAGTTCAATACTTACCAGTAAGTGTTCTCCTCCACAGAGTCACACCCTCTGGACAAACATACGTGAGATCCATACTCTCTGGATAAATAAGTGTGCATCCTCATGGACCTTGGAAGACACTGAAAAGTAAATTCCTCTATTGCTTAAGTGCATGCCTTAATGCCAGTTACCATTCCTCTTACATTACTATAGTACGGCTGGCATCCCAACTTGAATTCCTCAAAAATGAAATGAGACATTAAGAGTTAATGGTACATTTCCAAGTTTTAAAAACTGTACCCATTCAAGGAAGGAAAGTGTAGTAAACATGTCTGTGTTTAAATTCGCTCTTTAGTTAGCATGAGTGGTGCAAGAAAGCATTTTGTAAAACAACATAATACATTCCTTGCAGGGAGGGAAATAGCTCTGTCTCCAACAAGCCTGTATTATATCCATCAGGAAGATATTTCTCCTTACAATACACAACATAGAAAAGCATTAAATAAATCATTGGCTTACTCCAAAAGAGCAAGTATTTAAGTTTCACAGATTCTGAACAGAATCTTATTGAATAAAACTGAAAAATATATTTATCATGAATAGTGCTAGTAAAAAGTAAAGGAACTCTAAAATTACACAATATCTGTGTATTTTTAGAGATAGTATTGATTATTTTGAAATTGAATAATAGGGACTTCTATATTAAAATACTGAATATCTGGGACATATAAAATATCTGGGGTATTAAAGATTATAAATGTGGGAGCTTTTAGTAATTAACATAATAGTGTAACAGCCCTCTTCATTATAAAATCATATTTATAAAATACTTTCAAATAGGTTAAATATGAATAATTGAAATATGCCAGGTTCTAAGATACCTTTAATGATTATACCTCATTATTTTCCCTATCCCTGATTGCCACATTCCACCACTAAAATAAAGGGTGTAAAGGACTAGATGAGATCACTGAAAATCAAAATCTGAGAGGGAAAATGAAGTGAAGACAATAAACAGAAATAACAAAGGGAGATATGTTTTACCATTCCTAAGTTTGTATTTCAGTGACTAGCAAGGTTCATGAGGAGGTACACATAAAAATATCCTTAAGAACTCTTTCCATAAAGGAAATACCAATAGTAAGTATCATGTAACTATTGTAAATATACAATAAAATATGCTGCCATGCAAAATCATAAGAACACCAAAACAAACAAATCAATTTAAAGACCATGGTTTTGCAACTGAGCCTTCTGGCTGCGGTACTCTGCTAAGTCATTTTTAAACGTAATAAATTAGAATCACAGGAATTTCATAATTTAGGCTTAAAATATGTAAATAACCTGCAATTCAAAACTTTGCAAAGAAAGGATGTGCTTTTCAAAGAAATATCTTTTTAATGGATGTTACAGCTATAAAGAACCATTCCTTCCAAATGATTCACTGTAGTAATATTTAATTAATTCAATATTTTTTCCAAAAATTATACACAGTTCTCTTAGAAAAAAAGCAGCCATGGAAAGTCTAGCAAATACCTATAAGCAAGAGGAAATAGGACTTTTTTCCCCCCAAGTCAGTCATAATACTTTCACCTTCTATCCTAATCTCTCTCAAAAGTAGCCCAAAGAAAATCTAATTCTGAAGATAATATCATTTTAATTTCATTCAAGTCCCAGCATCATACTATGTATTCTGGGAAATTGGAAAGAAGCCAAAGATAAGGATCTCTTCATTTGAGTGATTCCTGTTGACTATATACGCTCACTCAAATGCTCAGTTATGTTCAAGGCACTGTGCTGCTAGGTGCTAGAGACCTAGAGACGCAGCAATGAGCAGGACTAACAATGTACAGACACTTAACTGCACTAGCAGTAGAGTCTTACTTAACCTGATTTCAGGTACTAGATAATTTGAAGCTGGGCTGTCCTCCCCTGCAAAGGACAGTCTATTCAGGATTGCCCTTATTCCTACTGCAGAGGGGCTTACCAAGGACTCTGCAAGGCTGTCAGAGAAGTCACTTAGGCTCTCAGTCCCTCAAGACCCTCTTCTAGAATCAGCAAATACCCCCAGGCCCAAAGCAGGCCCCAAATTACATGTTCACTTTTCTGGATATTTGTTGTCTCTTCAGTCTTGGAAGGGTAATATTTTACTACCTTGTTACTTTCCATAGGCTTGTATGCAGATGATTTTTATGTTTTGTTCAGCTTTAAAAATTATCCTTGCCAAGAGAGTTGATTAGAGTTACCTAGTCTGCCTTTATTGAAAGAGGAAGTTCCCTTTCCCTTTCCTGTTATTATTCCTTCTTGATTTAATCTTAAAATGAGATTAACCCCAACATTTCTATTTATATACCTGCATAGGTTCTCTGAGCACACATACCCCTCTACCATACCCTGTCACCATCTCCACATCCACATAGATCAACTGATTGTTTGCTAACGATACATTAGAAGTAATCAGGAACTTAAAATTAAATATTTTACCAAAACCCTTGTGATATATGTCCTCAATTTATACTTCTAGTTCTTAAGCTTCCTTATTTTCTTGGTGTAAAATTATGTTTCCAATAGCAGTTCTCCACTTTCGGTCTTCATTTTCTCTGTAGACAATCTCTTCCACACAAATGACTTTAAATGTAATCTGTATAAATTTTACTTTTTTATTGGCAGACCTGTTCAGAGTATCAGATCTGTATATACAACTCTCTGCAGTCTCTACTTCGGATGTCTCAAAGGTGTCTCAAAGGCAACAAGTTCAAAATTGAGCTCATGGCATTTCCTTGGACACCTGGGCCTCCTCCAGTCTCTTGTCCTAATGTGGGCTTTCTCTAGTCTCCTATCTTAGTGTGTGCCACTGTTACCCACCTGGTTTACAAACCAAGATTTCAGGAGTTATCCTTGATACTATTGGTTTTTATTGCTCACATAGTCCTGGTTTTATTTATTTCTTTAATCCGTCCACCTCTCCATCCAGACTACTTCCACCCTAATCCAAGCTATTTTGAAGGTTTGCTCAGGTAAGGGTAACAGATTCCAAGTGATCCTCACCCACTACATCCCTTCCATTCCATCCTACATCACTCTTTTCTGATTCATTTTTGACTTCACAGTCAGCATGAGATTTCAAAGCATTTAAAACTGTAATTTGAATATTCCCTTACATAATGCACCTAAGGATCTGCATAATTTGGGCTTTTTCACTGTCTCAGCAACTCCTCTTGCTTTATGCTCTAGGCACACTGATTTTCTCAGTTCTTCGAATCTGCATTCAATCTGCATGCTTCTCTTTCCTTCTCAATGCTGGGAATGTCTGCTTTCCTATCTGCCCTTATCTTGCCCTTCGTCTAATTATTTCTCTTCATACATGTCAGCTGTCACTTCTCAGCAAAGCCTTCTCTAACACCCCAGAGGAGATTACCTGTTATTAGGTGCTCTTAGAGCATCTTGTACTTCTCGCTGTTAGCTGTTATTACAATTTTAGGTACAGAATTAACAGTGTAGTTAGAATGTAAGCTCCACCATCCTGCTACTGCTACTATAAACATAATGTCACACCAACAATTTGAAGCCCAGCTTCAAATCATCCAGTACCTGAAATCAGGTTAAGTAAGACTCTACTGCTAGTGCAGTTAGGTGTCTGCCAGAAGAAAACATATTCCTTTCATGAGAAAGATATCATCCTAGGCCTCAAACTATTTCTACAAAAGGTTTGTCAAATACAAGACCAAGCACATAATCAATAATTTCAACACACAGGAGGAGATAATATAATAAGCAGAAAAAATACAAAATATACACATACCAAAAGGAGCTCCAGGTACTCGTGCTATATGATACATACATGGTTCAAGAGGATAAAAGATACAATTGAGAATTTCAACAGAGAATTCTCTAAGATATAAAAAACATGGCAGATTTTAAAGAGCTAAGTGGAAATTCTAGACTAAACAAATACAATAATCAAAATAAAAATCAGGTTAGATACAGATGAATTAGTGAGACAGAAGGTGTATTCGAATAAAACACTGATGAATCACAAACAGAAAAAAGGATGGAAATGAAAAAAAGAAGATAAAGGACATGGAAATACTATAAAAATGTCTAATATATATGAAATTGGAGTCTTAGAAGGAGGAGAGAGAGAAGATTAGGCAGAGGCACATGTAAAAAGATATCTGAGAATTTTCCAAAATTGGCCAAAGAAAATAAGCCACAGAGTCAAGAAGCCATAAATATGCCTCCATATTTCTAGAAATCTACAGATACACAGTGTAAAATCCTATGCTAATAAAAACATCTATTTAAAATGCATGTGGAAGACATTTTCAAACAGACAAAAACAAAGATAATTTGTTACCAGCAGACTTGTACTGAATACTAAAAGGTGTTCTTCAGGCAGAAAAAAAAGAAGATTCCAAATGGAAATACTATAGGTAATTAAAAAATGATAGATATGTGGGTAAATCTAAATAGATATTGGTTAGATAAAACAACAATATCTAGGAGACCTGAAATAGATAAATAAAATAGCTAGCAACAATAACATATAAGTCAGAAGAGGATTAAATAGAGAACTGTAAGGTTCTTCTTGTATTATTATCTGGGAAGACAGTAAAAACACCAGTGAAATTTGACTTTGATAATATGTCCTTTTTGTAATGTCTAAGGTCACTAACACAAGAAAAGTAAAAGAGTCTGTAACTTCCAAGCTAACAGAAGAGGGGGAAAGTGGAATAATAAAACTACTTAATCAATTCAAATAAAATAAATAAGAGAAATAGAAACATAGAGCAGTTGGCAAAACAAAAAAGCAAATTATAAGATGACCTAAGCAATTACATTAAATGTAAATGGGAAAATATTCTAATTAAAATACAGTGTGAGATTGGATTAAAAAATAAAATCCAATCATGTTGTTTACAAAATAAAATCTAAAACATCAGGAGGAGCCACAGAGTGGAAGAAGAAATTTCAACACATAACCAGAATATGTACAGAGCATTATATCACTGAATGGTTATACCACAATTGACTTACCCATCAACGGTTGACTGATACTTGGGTTGTTTCCAGTTTTAGCTATAGCAAGCAAAGCTGCAATGAACATCCATGTATAAGACTTTATATGAAAAGATGCTTC